GTGTCAGCACTCAATGGCCTGAGCAGTCCGTGGTGTCAGCACTCAATGACCTCAGCACTCCATGGTTTCAGCACTCAATGGCCTGAGCAGTCCGTGGTGTCAGCACTCAATGGCCTGAGCACTCCGTGGTGTCAGCACTCAATGGCCTGAGCAGTCTGCGGTGTCACCACTCAATGGCCTGAGCAGTCCGTGGTGTCAGCACTCAATGGCTTGAGCAGTCCTTGGTTTCAGCACTCAATGGCCTGAGCAGTCCGTGGTGTCAGCACTCAATGGCCTGAGCACTCCATGGTGTCAGCACTCAATGGCCTGAGCAGTCCGTGGTGTCAGCACTCAATGGCCTGAGCAGTCCCTAGTGTCAGCACTCAATGGCTTGAGCAGTCCTTAGTTTCAGCACTCAATGGCCTGAGCAGTCCGCAGTGTCAGCACTCAATGGCCTGAGCACTCCATGGTGTCAGCACTCAATGGCCTGAGCAGTCCGTGGTGTCAGCACTCAATGGCCTGAGCAGTCCCTAGTGTCAGCACTCAATGGCCTGAGCAGTACGTGGTGTCAGCACTCAATGGCCTGAGCAGTCCGTGGTGTCAGCACTCAATGGCCTGAGCACTCCATGGTTTCAGCACTCAATGGCCTGAGCAGTACGTGGTGTCACCACTCAATGGCCTGAGCAGTCTGTAGTGTCAGCACTCAATGGCCTGAGCAGTACGTGGTGTCAGCACTCAATGGCCTGAGCAGTACGTGGTGTCAGCACTCAATGGCCTGAGCAGTCCGTGGTGTCAGCACTCAATGGCCTGAGCAGTCCGTGGTGTCAGCACTCAATGGCTTGAGCACTCCATGGTGTCAGCACTCAATGGCCTGAGCAGTCCGCAGTGTCAGCACTCAATGGCCTGAGCACTCCATGGTGTCAGCACTCAATGGCCTGAGCAGTCCGTGGTGTCAGCACTCAATGGCCTGAGCAGTCCCTAGTGTCAGCACTCAATGGCCTGAGCAGTCCCTAGTGTCAGCACTCAATGGCCTGAGCACTCCGTGGTGTCAGCACTCAATGGCCTGAGCAGTCCGTGGTGTCAGCACTCAATGGCCTGAGCAGTCCGTGGTGTCAGCACTCAATGGCCTGAGCACTCCATGGTGTCAGCACTCAATGGCCTGAGCAGTCCGTGGTGTCAGCACTCAATGGCCTGAGCAGTCCCTAGTGTCAGCACTCAATGGCCTGAGCAGTCCCTAGTGTCAGCACTCAATGGCCTGAGCAGTCCGTGGTGTCAGCACTCAATGGCCTGAGCAGTCCGTGGTGTCAGCACTCAATGGCCTGAGCAGTACGTGGTGTCAGCACTCAATGGCCTGAGCAGTCTGTAGTGTCAGCACTCAATGGCCAGAGCAGTCCATGGTGTCAGCACTCAATGGCCTGAGCAGTCTGTAGTGTCAGCACTCAATGGCCTGAGCAGTCCCTAGTGTCAGCACTCAATGGCCTGAGCACTCCATGGTGTCAGCACTCACTGACCTGAGCAGTCTGTGGTGTCAGCACTCAATGGCCTGAGCAGTCCCTAGTGTCAGCACTCAATGGCTTGAGCAGTCCTTGGTTTCAGCACTCAATGGCCTGAGCAGTCCGCAGTGTCAGCACTCAATGGCCTGAGCACTCCATGGTGTCAGCACTCAATGGCCTGAGCAGTCCGTGGTGTCAGCACTCAATGGCCTGAGCAGTCCCTAGTGTCAGCACTCAATGGCCTGAGCAGTACGTGGTGTCAGCACTCAATGGCCTGAGCAGTCCGTGGTTTCAGCACTCAATGACCTGAGCAGTCCGTGGTGTCAGCACTCAATGGCCTGAGCAGTCCCTAGTGTCAGCACTCAATGGCCTGAGCAGTACGTGGTGTCAGCACTCAATGGCCTGAGCAGTCCGTGGTTTCAGCACTCAATGGCCTGAGCAGTCCGTGGTGTCAGCACTCAATGGCCTGAGCACTCCGTGGTTTCAGCACTCAATGACCTCAGCACACCATGGTTTCAGCTCTCAATGGCCTGAGCAAGAGCATTCTTGTTAGAGTCAATCTGAAGCTTGATTCTTTGTTTCAACATTATGTACTTACCCTAAGGCAGCTGTATGTATTCATGGTCAGTGGAGTAATGTGTATACAAACCTATAAGGTATTGACAATGAGTTCTGTGTAAAAGTTCAGGTTTCAACCCAGTTATGTTTATGGCACTATACTCATGGATTTCCCCTATCTCATGGTTACCCAATTAACGTTTTCAGAGCAATTCCCTTTAGCTCAAGATCTTATGATCTCAAACTTGGTAGCTGTACATGGATCTCAAGCTATCGGCTGAACAGCTAGTGTGTGTGTACGCCTCTGCTTTCTACCTATGCCTATGCACTGTGGACAAATATTGCTGTCTTCAAGCCTGGTCGCTAAGTTCAGTTCTTACACAGATTGACATATATCCTGTACAGTCTAGACTCAGAGATTACATGTTCTACTTTCAGACTTAAGTTATATTGAAGTGTTCGAAATGAGGAGCGGGAAGTACTGGAGTCCTTGTCGTACCCTTATGTAAAATGTTCAGAATTTAGGGCTTCCCTAGAATCAAACTCCATGGTAGAAAACCTCTAGGAACCGAGTCTCCCCCTTAATTACTAAATGCAGAAAAGTCCAGGAACACTTAAAGTGCTATCAAGAGGCCTGGCGCAGCAAACCTCATTACAGTAAGAACTTTTTTTCTGATATGTTAAAGGGGCGGTCGGGTAGCCTAGTGGCTCATCATGCCGAAAACTCAGGTTCGATTCCCAACATGGGTACAATGTGTGAAGCCCATTTCTGGTGTCCCCCGCCGTGATATTGCTGGAATATTGCTAAAAGCGGCGTAAAACCATACTCACTCACTCACTCACTCACTCATGCCTCTTTGTGTGAAGGTATGACAAATCATCAGAGGTCGTGTCAGGTGAACCCTGAGCAAACGAGATGAACCAGTCAAAATGAAGTATCCATGTGTTCTTCAACCAATCGGATAGCAGCTTCTTAAATGATCTAGCTTCATTTATGGCAGAACACAAATATATCCTTGATAGTAAACCATGTTGGTTGAAAAAGCCATAATGGTCCGAAACGCCAGGCGTACAAATATCCACAACAAGTTTATAGTGCTGCCTTTTATCTTCCATGTGGAACTGCCCATTTTTTAAATACCATTTAGAAACCTTGATGCTTAATGGAAAAGCATGTGGTGACACAAGCTATTGAAGAAATGTATTGTATCACAGTAAAAAATATGATTTAATGAAATTGTGGCATTACCATATTTGACGTGTTCAGCATCCCCATCCTCTCTCCGACCCATGAAGATCCGGGTTAGAAAATGTCTTCAGCAACCCATGCTTGCTCTAAACATTACAATGCTTGTCGTAAGTGGTGACTAGCGGGATCGGGTGGTCAGGCTCGCTGACTTGATGCATGTTATTGTATCCCAGCTGTGCAGATCACTAGACTGTCTACTCCAGACTTGAATATTTACAGACCGCTGTCATATAGCTGGAATATTGCTGAGTGCAACGTTAAACAACAAACAAACAAACTCTACATCCCTTGCATCATTTCAACGTCCACTGTCTGCTGTTACAATACCAGTTAGACAGGACTGGATTGTCGATATATAGCTGGAAAATTGCAGATGCAACATAAAATAATTACTCACTTCCAACAAATAGATTTTATTGTATGCTGGTAAATTTTATGTTTTTGTCCCTTTATGTTAAACGTTAAAGGATAAGGGGTCCCTAGATTCAGCTGCTATAGGAGTTAACCTCATGGACTCCAGGACCCCTCTTAGTTTCGAACACTGATGTATGGTACAACTGGATCATACAATTGGATCATAACTTTGTATTTGTTTGACACAATGACACAGTTGTGTGGTACAATTGGATCATATTGTTGTTGTGGGATCCTGCAGGTGTATTGTACCGTGGGATCCTGCAAGTGTATTGTACAGTGGGATCCTGCAGGTGTATTGTACAGTGGGATCCTGAAGGTGTATTGTACAGTGGGATCCTGCATGTGTATTGTACAATGGGATCCTGCAGGTGTATTGTACAGTGGGATCCTGCAGGTGTATTGTACAGTGGGATCCTGCAGGTGTATTGTACAGTGGGATCCTGCAGGTGTATTGTACAGTGGGATCCTGCAAGTGTATTGTACAGTGGGATCCTGCAGGTGTATTGTACAGTGGGATCCTGAAGGTGTATTGTACAGTGGGATCCTGCATGTGTATTGTACAATGGGATCCTGCAGGTGTATTGTACAGTGGGATCCTGCAGGTGTATGTACAGTGGGATCCTGCATATGTATTGTACAGTGGAATCCTGCAGGTGTATTGTACAGTGGGATCCTGAAGGTGTATTGTACAGTGGGATCCTGCAGGTGTATGTACAGTGAGATCCTGCAGGTGTATTGTACAGTGGGATCCTGCAGGTGTATTGTACAGTGGGATCCTGCAGGTGTATGTACAGTGGGATCCTGCAGGTGTATTGTACAATGGGATCCTGCAGGTGTATTGTACAGTGGGATCCTGCAGGTGTATGTACAGTGGGATCCTGCAGGTGTATTGTACAGTGGGATCTTGCAGATGTATAGTACAGTGGGAACCCGCAGGGGTATGTACAGTGGGATCCTGCAGGTGTATGTACAGTGGGATCCTGCAGGTGTATGTACAGTGGGATCCTGCAGGTGTATGTACAGTGGGATCCTGCAGGTGTATTGTACAGTGGGATCCTGCAGGTGCATGTACAGTGGGATCCTGCAGGTGTATTGTACAGTGAGATCCTGCAGGTGTATGTACAATGGTATCCTGCAGGTGTATGTACAGTGGGATCCTGCAGGTGTATTGTACAGTGAGATCCTGCAGGTGCATGTACAGTGGGATCCTGCAGGTGTATTGTACAGTGGGATCCTGCAGGTGTATGTACAGTGGTTCTTGCTTGTATGGCACATGGTGTGAGACCGATGTGTGTGTGTTGCAGACACTCTGACAGTGCCCAAGTCTCCCAAGACTCCACTCAACCTGGGGCCCAAGATGAAGCACCAGATCAACCATAGGTAAGTGGGACACACCTGTCTACCTACTTAACAGTGGACTAGGCAGTCAACACCAAGCCAGGGATTTATCTAGCACACCAAATTGGCAGGCAAATTCAGAAAACAATTTATTATGGGGCTAAAAAAATAATAGTCTTGGTTCTCAGGCACCGCCCACAACCTATGAAAATCTTTTCATGTTTTTAATCAAGGTGCTCACATGATTTGATACTTTTCGCGATGTAAGACCCATTTTATCACAACATAGATCTTGATTATCGATCAGATCATCTTGACTGGGCGTCGCCATTTTGTTGGAGCCCAGGAATTCCAGCCTCGTTTGGCAAGGGTTGAAACTGGACTTTTAAAGTCAGTTAACTCACTTGCTTCGGGAAGATGGATCTATGTAACATCATGGTATCATCTTTTGCAAAAAATAATTAGCATACCACGTTTATCTGCTATTTATGTAACTAGTAATTCACTGTTTACAAAAGTATTTAGTATTGTTTGCATGGTGTTGACTGCTTAACATTACAAATTTGATAGGTATTTGCAACATATATTTGTATTCAATAATTCATTGTGAAATTGTAACGTAAAATGTTTGTAATTTTTTTAGACAAATATTTTCCCTAATAATGGTTAAGAGCGATGTTAACAATTATCCAATTTCTCAAACTTTCTACAAAACTAAAGCTGTATCACAAATTTAACTGTTTTCTCAGAAAAGATATTTGAATACTGTCTGTTACCATGGTAACACATGATTGTTGATGTTTCTTTGCTCTACTCATACATTGTATTTCAGAGAGGTTGTGAGCTCATTTCGATTTTATCTTGCAACATACCAAATTTGATCTTTCCAAGTGTCTTGCAAGCAAATAATGCTATTGACAAAATTAGATTCCACATTCACTATTAGAAACCTCATAAAGTATTCCTGATTAGAGTAAATCAAAATGTGCTCACTTCTTGTTTCAAAGTGCCTATGTCCTTCTTCGACTTTATTACGAGTTTTAGAATCCTTGACAAAGCAATAAATTGGAGTCCATGTCGTGAAGGGCAATGCTATCTTTGATAGCTAGATAGCTGATAACATGCACTAAGTATGTCTAGCCTAATATGATTAGTCTAATAATACTGGAATATTTTAAGGATGTTTCATTATGCCAAGTACTCCTTATTCATGTTCAACAGAAAACAAATAGTTCTTCATTTGGATATAGGCACTTTACTTTCCCTGCATTCCTTTCATGAATTATCAATGGACAAATCTGATTATCACAAACTCGGAAAGAAACCTGCTTCTTCTACAATCCTAGTATGGATTTCAGAATAATGGTACTTAAATTGAACTTAAGATTATCTGCAAAAAGCAGCAACAGCTGACATTTGGTGGACACGTTTATCATCTTGTTCTGGAAGCCCACCGAGGATATGATGCAAACTGCTGCACTTCAGCCTGTATCCTCTGCCAGTATCTACACTCAAACAACATACTGCTACACTGAAGCCTCCCTCTGTAGCCCCTGCCTGCATCTACACACTCACACAACATGCTGCTACACTTCAGCCTCCCTCTGTAGCCCCTGCCTGCATCTACACACTCACACAACATGCTGCTACACTGAAGCCTCCCTCTGTAGCCCCTGCCTGCATCTACACTGACACAACATGCTGCTACACTGAAGCCTCCCTCTGTAGCCCATGCCTGCATCTACACACTCACACAACATGCTGCTACACTGAAGCCTCCCCCTACAGCCCCTGCCTGCATCTACACACTCACACAACATACTGCTACACTGAAGCCTTCCCCCTACAGCCTCTGCCTGCATCTACACACTCACATAACATGCTGCTACACTGAAGCCTCCCCCAGTAGCCCCCGCCTGCATCTACACACTCACACAACATGCTGCTACACTGAAGCCTCCCCCAGTAGTCCCCGCCTGCATCTACACACTCACACAACATACTGCTACACTGAAGCCTTCCCTTGTAGCCCCTGCCAGTATCTACACACTCACACAACATACTGCTACACTGAAGCCTTCCCCAGTAGCCCCTGGCTGCATCTACACTCACACAACATACTGCTACACTGAAGCCACCCCCTGCAGCCTCTGCCTGCATCTACACACTCACACAACATGCTGCTACACTGAAGCCTCCCTCTGTAGCCCCTGCCTGCATCTACACACTCACACAACATACTGCTACACTGAAGCCTCCCCCCTACAGCCTCTGCCAGTATCTACACTCATACAACATACTGCTACACTGAAGCCTCCCCCAGTAGCCCCTGCCTGCCTCTACACTCACACAACATACTGCTACACTGAAGCCTCCACCAGTAGCCCCTGCCTGCATCTACACTCACACAACATACTGCTACACTGAAGCCTCCACTGGTAGCCCCTGCCAACACGTACACACTCACACAACATACTGCTACACTGAAGCCTCCCCTGGTAGCCCCTGCCTGCATCTACACACTCACACACCATTCTGCTGCACTGAAGCCTCCCCTGGTAGCCACTGCCAACACTTACACCCCCACACAACATACTGCTACACTGAAGCCTCCCCTGGTAGCCCCTGCCTGCATCTACACACTCACACACCATTCTGCTGCACTGAAGCCTCCCCTGGTAGCCACTGCCAACACTTACACCCCCACACAACATACTGCTACACTGAAGCCTCCCTCTGTAGCCCCTGCCTGCATCTACACACTCACACAACATGCTGCTACACTGAAGCCTCCCTCTGTAGCCCCTGCCTGCATCTACACACTCACACGCTGCTACACTGAAGCCTCCCTCTGTAGCCCCTGCCTGCATCTACACTGACACAACATGCTGCTACACTGAAGCCTCCCTCTGTAGCCCATGCCTGCATCTACACACTCACACAACATGCTGCTACACTGAAGCCTCCCCCTACAGCCCCTGCCTGCATCTACACACTCACACAACATACTGCTACACTGAAGCCTTCCCCCTACAGCCTCTGCCTGCATCTACACACTCACATAACATGCTGCTACACTGAAGCCTCCCCCAGTAGCCCCGCCTGCATCTACACACTCACACAACATGCTGCTACACTGAAGCCTCCCCCAGTAGTCCCCGCCTGCATCTACACACTCACACAACATACTGCTACACTGAAGCCTTCCCTTGTAGCCCCTGCCAGTATCTACACACTCACACAACATACTGCTACACTGAAGCCTTCCCCAGTAGCCCCTGGCTGCATCTACACTCACACAACATACTGCTACACTGAAGCCACCCCCTGCAGCCTCTGCCTGCATCTACACACTCACACAACATGCTGCTACACTGAAGCCTCCCTCTGTAGCCCCTGCCTGCATCTACACACTCACACAACATACTGCTACACTGAAGCCTCCCCCCTACAGCCTCTGCCAGTATCTACACTCATACAACATACTGCTACACTGAAGCCTCCCCCAGTAGCCCCTGCCTGCCTCTACACTCACACAACATACTGCTACACTGAAGCCTCCACTGGTAGCCCCTGCCAACACGTACACACTCACACAACATACTGCTACACTGAAGCCTCCCCTGGTAGCCCCTGCCTGCATCTACACACTCACACACCATTCTGCTGCACTGAAGCCTCCCCTGGTAGCCACTGCCAACACTTACACCCCCACACAACATACTGCTACACTGAAGCCTCCCCAGTAGCCCTGCGAGCATCTACACACTCACACTAGATGCTATGGCAGCTTTTACGGTATCAGATTTGTCCGTTTCATTTTCAAAATGTTCTGGTAAAAACTTTATCTTAACATTTTCTTGTCTTTACTCGACAGATTTTCTCACTACTTTCAGTCATGAATAAACATAAGTATGAAGCATCTCAAAAATGAACCACTGACAGACTAAGACACATGATTTCAAGAAATTCTGATTCAAAACCTCGAAACCTGTAGCCAGAGTCAGAGTTGTAGAACAATCTGATCATCTAGGACAGAATCAGAAGCTATTCCTCAATGATTCAAGATATTCAAGCCAGATGAATAAAATTCAGCAAAATCGTTACAAATCGAAAAGAAAGACAGGGCTATACTCACAGGCAAGCCTTCTTGAAAAGGAAAAGTGTAAAAAAATATTTAATACATGACCAATTTTACAACTAACAAAGCAAATCCCCCTGGAACATTAAGCAACGATTCACTGTTACAGACAAACTCTCTTGTATACCATTTATTTACCACTAGTTGTCTTCTTGCAGTGAAATAGATCAGACTGTTGTGGAGTCAATTCTTTTATTTGGTACCACATTTGTGTAGGGGTGGTCAGGTAGCCTGGTGGTTAAAGCGGTCGCTCGCCACGCCGAAGACCCGGGTTCGAATCCTGACATGGGTACAATGTGTGAAGCCCATTTCTGATGTCCCCCGCCATGATATTGCTGGAATATTGCTAAAAGCGGCGTAAGACCAAAACTCACTCACTCACTCACATTTGTGTAATTTAGTATTGGTGGATCCGTAAAACTAATAAATTATTTTTAAAAATCATTACAAGTAAACCCTTATCCTCTATTTAGATTAACAGTAAATTTTACTTTTGAATCGTGCATTATCCAGTGAATTTGGGTAGATATTTATTACAAAAAAAATACTTAAGCCTATCTTGATGAAAAATCTTGATGGCAATATTATTATTTTATTTCTGACACTATGTTAGCCCTTTGTCATGTTTACTATACTCTGACTTCTGGCTACTGGCTCATACTTTTGCGTTATAGTGACAATACCACCGTATTCAAGTATGCAATGTGTAAGATGAATTCCGTGTTTATAAATTCAAAATGGATGACTTATTCTTGGTGACAAGAGATTGTTTCCACTAATCAAGTCTCTCCCTTGACGTGGTCAAGTGGTCAGCACTTGGTCAACGGCCACCAGAAGTTTTGAGGATGTAATCTGCAACTGGTAAACCAGCAGGAATGACAGGCATTGCAACAGTTATCTCCCCTTGTTTTTTTCCCAAGGTTTACTAACACCTTTAAGATCACGACCTGTGACGTATGTCATAAGCAGATGTTTCTCGGCTATAAGTGTAAAGACTGCAAGTAAGACAATGAAGTCACCGGTATCACTAGAGATCATTATCGTCATAGCGTACTCACTCCCTCACTCACTCTAGTAGCCAAGCTCCGCCTCAAGCTAGCCTCACTGCCCGGATCACTCTGCACACAAAGGGAGTTAACTCTTGTGGATGTTGACTAGCCTTATCGAATACTTTTCTTTGTTTCTTTGTCATATATGTATATCATAACAAATCTTGCAAAAACAGTCATGCTGAACAAGTTATGTTGATAATGACAGCCATGTTTTAGACTAGTCTGACATGAATCAATTTATTACCAGAATTTATTAATTATCTCCTAGACGTTGAGGCAATCAAAAAGGAATTTGAGGAGTGGTTTGTTAAAGGGACAATATTTCTTGCGAGTGTCCGTGGCGGAGTCTGGTTTGTGGACGGAGTCTGGTTCGTGGGCGTTGGTAACTGACTCTGTACAGTGCTGTACTCTCCATTAGCCTCAGCTAGCTACCAGTCAGCCCTTTCACTGACCTGCAGGAGCAGATTCAAGCACGTTCTCTTAGTGTTTCCATCGTAGGGTGGGCAGACTTTCAAACAGGCACAGTTTTGTTGAAAATTGAAACATTTTTTATTTGCTGTAACAAATATTTTTTGAGAAGCTGATGTTCATGTTTATGATTGGTGTATTAATGTCCTTGCTTTGACTGATGTGAAGGAAGAAATTACTTGTTTTTTCTTGAACATTGTCAGTAATATCCATGTATCAGATCTCCAGTTAACTATGACAAATACTCGGCATCCATTCACCACCGTTGTCTGAGTCTGGTTTGAAAGGAACAACACTTAACATATACACCACAATGTTTCACTGCTCTGTCATGATTGGAACAAGAAAGCATATCACCAGAACTAAACTTTTGCTTGTCATCGCAAATCGAGAGAGCAACCAATCCAGGATTAAACGTAACATATATATTATCACTTTTTCACCAGTCCGTATTTTACATAATACGTAATTGTACTCCTAGGAGGAAAAGGGTCTGTTGTTTTGAGAGCTAATATTTCATTGCATTTAATCCCGAATTGGTTGTTTTCCCGAGAATACATATATCATTTTGAAACACGAGAATACATACATCATTTTGAAACCCGAAAATGTTTCAATACGTTTTAATAATGGAAAGCATATAAATAGAATGGAGATATTATACACTGGATGATATAATCAATAGGCTATAATTCCTTGTATCAACACATGTTGATGGGAAATACCCAGGGCATCTCTGTAAGAGGGGTCAAAATACACCACTCGGTTATTAACTTCAGAACTTGATGGGTCTGTCTGGTTTACTAAAAAGTGCTTCTGTTGAGGTCTGTTACCCTGTGCAATCAATGAAACTGTTTATGTAACTGCACAGTGCATGAGTCAGTCACGGGACTGAAGTGTGGTAGCTAGCTGGGACTGAACTTGGTGACCCAGTCACCCAACGTTGTCGTCACCGGCTTCTTGTGACAAGTGGATCCGAACCAGACATCCATGGAACAACTCACCATTGTGGTCTTGATGGACACCTAGAGGGTTATTGGTATAAGAATAATATGACTGTGAATACAGTGATAGAAACTAATAGTTTTAGTCCACTAGTCCTTTTAATAACAAAAGCAAAACCTTTAGAAAGGCACATTTTCTACTAGTCTTCATGATACCTTAACTTTTGGGCAGTTTTGCAAAGACTACAGGACAAGTGCTAATTTCTAATGCTGGAATAGGAAATTTATACCTGCACCAGCCTTGCTAAGGGTGATGCAAGTATTTCGGATGTTGCTATGTAATGCCACAAGGATGAGAAGCCGGTGACCCCCCTCCCACTCCTTACCCTGGCCTCCAGGACTAACATTAGACTAGGCGGGGTCCTCCCTCCCCCTCTTCCTTCTAGACATTGCCTGACTGTGGTCTATGCTGTCTGATCGTCTGTCCGTCAGTCTGCCTGTCAGTCTGTCCTTCACATTTCAGCCTGTAGATATAGCTTAGACATGCAGTTCACATTGACAGTCAGCAATGGTACATGTGCTTTGGTTCTGGCCCTTTCTGACATTTTAATTTTGAGTTTTTCTTTGTCATTGAAGAAATTATGTGAAAGACACTGTATTATACACAATGGAAGACACTGTGTACATGCAGTGTATACAACATTATACAAACATGTACTGTAGGCCAGATGGATAAGATCCAGCACCCTACTATGACTGCCTCTGTTGACTGTTTGACTCATCCACTAACAACGACTCTTCAGCTGTCACTGCTTCCCTCATAATGCTCAGTTGACTGCTCTCAACTAAAGCTCAGGTGACTGCTCTCAACTAGAGCTCTGTTGACTGCTCTCAACTAGAGCTCTGCTGACTGCTCTCAAGTAGAGCTCTGTTGACTGCTTTCAACTAGAGCTCTGCTGACTGCTTTCAACTAGAGCTCTGTTGACTGCTCGCAACTAGAGCTCTGCTGACTGCTCTCAAGTAGAGCTCAGTTGACTGCTCCCAACTCTGGCTCTGGTGACTGCTCTCAACTAAAGCCCAGTTGACTGCTCTCAAATACCTCCCTCCCCAGCCTCTTACCATTAGCTTGCCATGAGACATGCGGACAGACTCCTTTCAAACTAGCATCTACCAGATTGTCATCCGTCCGTCCGTCCAGCAAACGTGTCCGCTAGCGAGGTGTCTAGTCTCTGTTGGTTGATCAGTAAGCAGGGTTAGAAACTAACCTGGACCTCAGCCCACCTTAACACAGGGCAAGAGGCTGAGGCTAGCAGGCTGGGCGTAACTTCTACCCCTGGTAAGGTGTATGCTTTGTTTCTTTCTTTAGATTTAACTCCAGCTTTGTGTTTGCTCCCTGTGATATTTGCGCTACCATAATCCTAAGGGGAAAAGTTTGTAAATATTGCAAGTAAGTATTATCAGTGGTCAGGCCAGTACCTATCTTGCTGGATAGTCACCAGTTTTGCTGATAGGATCACTCTCGATCGGTTTACCATGGAAATATACCCTGGGTACAAAACGATATATCGAGTTGTACCAAGATTTTATTTGCAGTATTTTAAATATTGAAATGGCTCAACAAACTGCCACACAATATCAACCCAGAACCTTGTTCTTTAAACTGATAAAATACTGACTGTGCCTAGTTTTGGATATAAATTGCATTATAAAACATTTCTTTTTTTTTCAAGTCTAAGTCACATATAAGTATTTCAATTGCACGCATTGAAAGTCTGTCTCTACTAAACCTCAATTCATTTCCCAATTCCCCAAATGTGGATACAGTTACAAAATCGGGATACACTATGGGCTGGGTACAATATGATACGGCAACAAGAACCTGGGTACAACTTGATCTATTGTTTTGTACCCACGGTACATTTCGATGGTAAACCGATTGACAGTGACCCTATAAGTTTTGTCAAGTTCGCTTGGGGTTGATCCCAGTTGAGCTAAGTTTTTGTTTGGTTGAATTTGTCCCGATTCCGTTTTGTTTCGTTTTTGAGTTCTTTAACCCCAATTTATTACTCTGAGGTTCAGTTGAGTTCACTACTTCATGATTTGAACAGACATTGGATAGATTGGATTGGACTCACCAGGGCTCACTTGCACAAAGCGATCTTAGCGCTAAGATGCTCGTAACTCCCATACTTTAACATAGGCTTACGATAGTCTTAGCGCTAAGATCGCTTTGTGCAAGTGAGCCCAGTTATCTCATCCTAACTTTGGTTGCATTCTATACCTTGGGTTTCATCCTAGACTAACATTCAGTACTGACAAATGTACCTTGATATTATTACCATGCATGCTCGACCATATATTCCCACTTCGTTTCTAACTTGATTTTTATTTTCGTTTATTTCTTTTCTTTATGTATGTAAAAAGTAAACAAATTAAATTTGATTAAATATAAATACTTGAAGTTGTATTTTCAAACAACATGATGATAATGTTATGACTATACTTTACATATTGGAAAGTACAAAAAGGCATTGGAATGGAATGTTGTGATGAATCCATATTAAAGGTACATGAAACTGGAATGTGTGAATGTGTGACAACTTGTGCAACTTAAGGTCCCGTCCTCAGTCCTGTCCTCAGTCCTCAGGCCCGTCCTCTGTCCCCATCCCTTGTAAGCTATGCATGGTATAGTACTTGTGTGTCCCACATCTGTAGTCAAGTGGAGACAACTCTGGTTGGTCTCCGGCGTGTTGTGCTGTGTGTGTCTATGGTTGACTGGTTCCCCTGTAGACGTGTGTAGATGTTTATATTTCACATAGATATATGTAAGTATTTCAACTACAATTAGATGTTTGTCTGGATATTTTAGTGTGCAGTAATAAAACTATCATCATTTGGATATTTGACCGGTAAATGCAACTTAATATTTAATTTATTTGCAATTTTTGAAAATATAATTTCCATATCATGTTCAAATGTGTTATTTTCATATGCATTAATTTAAATATCCTGATTGTAATTTTTGTTTGGTTTATTTATTAACTTTTATTATGTAGTTACGGTGATATAGAAAGTGTATACATTTGGTGAAGATAGTATTGACCCAAAGGACCCCGGGTTGAAATTGGACCCCTATGCTTGTCTTAAGAGGCGATGGGGCGGTCAGGTAGCCTAGTGGTTAAAGCGTTCGCTTGTCACGCCGAAGAACCAAGTTTGATTCCCAACATGGGTACAATGTGTGAAGCCCATTTCTGGTATTCCCTGCCGTGATATTGCTGGAATATTTCTTAAGACGGCCTAAAACCATACTCACTCACTCACTCACCGTGAGAGGTGACTTAATGGTCAGCATGATGACTAAGTTGTTTGCGTGTCATTGTAACAGACAGTGTGGATAATGGCTGACAGAGTGTCATTACGCTTCGACGTCGTGAATCGTTACTAATGCTTTTACTCACTGGATTGTCTCGTCCAGATAGGATTATTGACTGGCTGGTGTGACATAGCTGAAATACTGCTGTCTTTCATGCCTGGCATAACATACATTCACTCATTTTGTAGAAAGCAAAATGTTTTACTCAGTTTTCCGATTGTGAAAGCTTTAGTCCACTCAGCCATAGTTATGTAGGTATTATGTAGGTATAAGGAATCCTGAAGTTTGATGTAGGTGTGTTTTTCCCAGCGGTGAGGTTGAAATATATGTTTAGTTTAGTTTGTTCTAATAATTTTCAAATTTAATTTAATTATAAAAATTAATCTCATTTAAAATTTTGATAAATTTCGATAGATATTTGCTTGATAAGTCAATTTATGAAGCTTGTCCTCACAATGAAGAATCATCTCCAGTTAAAAAGCTGTATGATGTGTTTGTTTGCCTAATACTTATTTGTCACCTCTGTATGTTCTAATGGACATTTCTTTTACTAGGAAAAAATTCCATCGTGACTGTGCTAGTAAAGCCAGGCCGACATGTGGTCTGACAGACGACTATGTTGATGCAATCATAGGATTAACAGGTAGGCCTGGATGCATCTTTCATTCACTTGATTTTGACCACAACTGGGATAGTGGAGCCGACTAGTGTGCCCTTGTGCTCCGTACTTGTTCTCTCTCAAGGAGAGCCGATCAGAACAGAGGCCCAGTGCCCCATGCTTGTCTGTCTTTCTGTCCGAGACCAACTCTGTGTTAACTCCCACCGGTGTTCCAGATCAGCATATACATACAGCTCAGTGTTTGCGAGAAGCTTCACTTCAAAACAAACAGAGCGTAGAGCGTTTGCCTGGAGAGTGGAAGGTCCTGGGTTTGATCCCGGCCGCGTCATACTGAAAGACGATAAAAGATAGTACTTGTTGTTACCCTGCCTGGCGCTCGGCATTAAGGGGCTCAGAGTCTGTATGCTGTGTCTGAGTTGGGTATACATGTTAAACTGCGGCATGGTATCTCAGTGGGCAAGCAATATAAAATCGGTATTAGTCCGGGCACACACACCCGTGCATGCAGGTCGCTATATATTAGCATGCAGGTCGCTATATATTAGCATGCAGGTCGCTAATCTTGGCTGGACGTTTAAGTCCCATTTCACTCGCCTCTTCTCAACTTTCTGTCCAGATAGTGAGGTATTGTTGTCCCATGATGGCCGATGCTTGGCAGAATCACCCCCTAGTACCTCGTGCTTGTCTTTCCATGGGTTTTGTGGGATCCTCCAATATCACATGCTTGTCTCAATCGACCCCCCGTACCCCATGCTTGTCCCCCCAATTGTTAAAGTGGGACAGAATAGCAAGGCAGAATATGATATGATCGTGGGTTTGATTCCCAATTCACATGATTATGTTTCTAGGTTTGTCAGCTCCATGCCCCGTGGTCGTGGGTTTCAGCAAAGTGGGAAAAGTCTGAGACCTACTTCACTTCAGGCTTTCCACCCACATTAAGCTGATATACCATTATAAAACCGAAATACTGTTGGCCTTTAAACCATTCACTAACGGTACACACGCATTCTCATTCATACATGTACCCTGAAAAATCTCTTATTATGTGATGATCTGACACTGAAGGTCACTTTTTTTTTGTTTATTATTGTACCCATATTTCCTAAACCTCATCCAAATGATCTTTTGGACTTGACCTCTCCTTGGGTCAAGGTCAGGAGAGGTGTTCCCGGAGTACCACACTGCTGCTTGTTTCAGGTACTGACCATATGCCGGACTCCAGCTCCAACACATCGTCCTGCAACTCTTCAACTCCATCATCCCCTGCTCTCATCTCATCCGGCACAGTCACATCACCATCCCCAGCGCCATCCCCCAACATCTCAATACAGTTCCAGTTCCCAGGTGAGTCTCTTCCCCTCCCACCCAACATCTCAATAAAGTTCAAGTTCCCAGGTGAGTCTGTCCCCAAACATCTTAATACAACTCCAGTTCCCAGGTGAGTCTCTCCCCCCCAACATCTCAATACAGCTCCAGTTCCCAGGTGAGTCTCTCCCCCCCAACATCTCAATACAGCTCCAGTTCCCAGGTGAGTCTGTCCCCCAACATCTCAATACAACTCCAGTTCCCAGGTAAGTCTCTCCCCCCCAACATCTCAATACAGCTCCAGTTCCCAGGTGAGTCTGTCCCCCAACATCTCAATACAGCTCCAGTTCCCAGGTGAGTCTGTCCCCAAACATCTTAATACAACTCCAGTTCCCAGGTGAGTCTCTCCCCCCCAACATCTCAATACAGCTCCAGTTCCCAGGTGAGTCTGTCCCCCAACATCTCAATACAACTCCAGTTCCCAGGTAAGTCTCTCCCCCCCCAACATCTCAATACAGCTCCAGTTCCCAGGTGAGTCTGTCCCCCAACATCTCAATACAACTCCAGTTCCCAGGTAAGTCTCTCCCCCCCAACATCTCAATACAGCTCCAGTTCCCAGGTGAGTCTCTCCCCCAACATCTCAATACAGCTCCAGATCCCAGGTGAGTCTCTCCCCTCAACATCTCAATACAGCCCCAGTTCCCAGGTGAGTCTGTCCTCCAACATCTCAATACAGCTCCAGTTCCCAGGTGAGTCTGTCCCCCAACATCTCAATACAGCTCCAGTTCCCAGGTGAGTCTGTCGCCCAACTTCTCAATACAGTTCCAGTTCCCAGGTAAGTCTGTCCTCCAACATCTCAATACAGCTCCAGTTCCCAGGTGAATTCATCCCCCAACATCTCAATACAGCTCCAGATCCCAGGTAAGTCCAACCCCCAACATCTCAATACAGCTCCAGATCCCAGGTAAGTCCATCCCCCAACATCTCAATACAGCTTCAGATCCCAGGTAAGTCCATCCCCAAACATCTCAATACAACATCTCAATACAGCTCCAGATCCCAGGTGAGTCTCCCCCCTCTCCCATCCCCCAACATTTCAATACAGCTCCAGATCCCAGGTAAGTCTCTACCCCAACATCTCAATACAGTTCCAGATCCCAGGTGAGTCTCCCCCATCTCCCATCCCCCAACATTTCAATACAGCTCCAGTTCCCAGGTGAGTCTCTTCCCCTCCCACCCAACATCTCAATACAGCTCCAGTTCCCAGGTGAGTCTCCCCCCTCTCCCATCCCCCAACATCTCAATACAGCTCCAGATCCCAGGTGAGTCTCCCCCCTCTCCCATCCCCCAACATCTCAATACAGTTCCAGATCCCAGGTGAGTCTCTACCCCAACATCTCAATACAGTTCCAGATCCCAGGTGAGTCTCCCCCCTCTCCCATCCCCCAACATCTCAATACAGTTCCAGATCCCAGGTGAGTCTCCCCCCTCTCCCATCCCCCAACATCTCAATACAGCTCCAGATCCCAGGTGAGTCTCTTCCCCTCCCACCCAACATCTCAATACAGCTCCAGTTCCCAGGTGAGTCTCTACCCCAACATCTCAATACAGTTCCAGATCCCAGGTGAGTCTCCCCCCTCTCCCATCCCCCAACATCTCAATACAGCTCCAGATCCCAGGTGAGTCTCCCCCCTCTCCCATCCCCCAACATCTCAATACAGCTCCAGATCCCAGGTGAGTCTCTTCCCCTCCCACCCAACATCTCAATACAGCTCCAGTTCCCAGGTGAGTCTCTACCCCAACATCTCAATACAGTTCCAGATCCCAGGTGAGTCTCCCCCCTCTCCCATCCCCCAACATCTCAATACAGTTCCAGTTCCCAGGTGAGTCTCTTCCCCTCCCACCCAACATCTCAATAAAGTTCAAGTTCCCAGGTGAGTCTGTCCCCAAACATCTTAATACAACTCCAGTTCCCAGGTGAGTCTCTCCCCCCCAACATCTCAATACAGCTCCAGTTCCCAGGTGAGTCTGTCCCCCAACATCTCAATACAACTCCAGTTCCCAGGTGAGTCTCTCCCCCAACATCTCAATACAACTCCAGTTCCCAGGTAAGTCTCTCCCCCCAACATCTCAATACAGCTCCAGTTCCCAGGTGCGTCTGTCCCCCAACATCTCAATACAGCTCCAGATCCCAGGTGAGTCTCTCCCCCCAACATCTCAATACAGCTCCAGTTCCCAGGTGAGTCTGTCCCCCAACATCTCAATACAGCTCCAGTTCCCAGGTGAGTCTGTCGCCCAACTTCTCAATACAGTTCCAGTTCCCAGGTAAGTCTGTCCTCCAACATCTCAATACAGCTCCAGTTCCCAGGTGAATTCATCCCCAAACATCTCAATACAGCTCCAGATCCCAGGTAAGTCCAACCCCCAACATCTCAATACAGCTCCAGATCCCAGGTAAGTCCATCCCCCAACATCTCAATACAGCTTCAGATCCCAGGTAAGTCCATCCCCAAACATCTCAATACAACATCTCAATACAGTTCCAGATCCCAGGTGAGTCTCCCCCCTCTCCCATCCCCCAACATTTCAATACAGCTCCAGATCCCAGGTAAGTCTCTACCCCAACATCTCAATACAGCTCCAGTTCCCAGGTGAGTCTCCCCCTCTCCCATCCCCCAACATCTCAATACAGTTCCAGATCCCAGGTGAGTCTCCCCCCTCTCCCATCCCCCAACATCTCAATACAGTTCCAGTTCCCAGGTGAGTCTCTTCCCCTCCCACCCAACATCTCAATACAGTTCCAGTTCCCAGGTGAGTCTCTTCCCCTCCCACCCAACATCTCAATACAGTTCCAGATCCCAGGTGAGTCTCCCCCCTCTCCCATCCCCCAACATTTCAATACAGCTCCAGTTCCCAGGTGAGTCTCTCCCCCAGAATCGCGACCTTTAGGCTTGTCTGACTTATATGAGGAATCTGATTGTTTGATTTGTATTACCAAGATGAATGATGAGGTTATTCTGTTTTTGTGAGGATCATATCGAGTCAACTTGTGTTACAGAATTGCCTTATCTTGTGCTACTGAGGATCATGATTGTGTTATCTTGTGTTACAGAGGTGCCTGATAGTATCACTGCCAGTCTCCCGATGGACTATACCATGAGCGGTGACCACAGGGCATATGAGTAAGTAATCCTTGAAAAATTCAACTCTGTTTCCACCTCTGACCCTTCGAGTCATTTTGCACTTATTGTGAAACATTGAAGGACTCTCTGTAAACCAGTGGTGTCATGGACTGAATGTCTAATAATATTGTTAAGATGAGTTAGTTTTTGATGCAAGAAATGAAACAACTAGTTTCACTATTTATTATACCCCGCCATGAAGTAGAAAGGGGATATGGGTCATTCTCAAAAAAAGTGAGTTTTTTAGTCCGAGTTGAATAACAATTAAAATATTTATTTTAGATATGTTTAAACACAAGTGTTTTTCGTAGAACATACCATGGTGTCTGAAAGTTAAGTTTCAGTATTTCTTATTAGGTATTTTATTTTAATTAAAACTGCTTAATTGCGGTTAAATTGAGCTGAAGGGTGTGTCCGTAACCCTATGTTTGCACATCAACATTGTTTAATGTTGCTAAAAATAAAAAATATTATGTAAATAATGTTTATATATTGTACATTACCTTTCTAACTCATGATATAAACTTATCTTTTGAAGATACACTCTTTTATTTATATTGGTTTTTGGTAAGAAACACTTGTACATAAAAAAGTGTCTGTCCTGTTACCAGGATGGATCAAAACTGAAAAATAAATAATCCTTCAAGATTCCCATAATTCAAAATAACAGAAATACAGCTTACTTCCTGTACTATCATGGCAGCAGTGTCCTTCAAGTGAGAGAAGACTTTGGATAATTCTGCTTGACAGGGAAGTTTAGTGCTATCATGAATACTCTTTTCTTATGTCTGTGCTGTTACTGCTCATTTTTGCCAAAACAAATATTTTTTTCTAAAACCATTTTTTCAGAATATTAGAAAATATGAACTGTTCACAATGCCATGTGGTCTCAACATTTCAAGGGAGGTCTCATTAAAAAAAACTGTTATTAATGTCAATTTGTCTATGCTGTTACTGTCTGTGCTGTTACCTTCAAACATGTAAACAGGACAGACATTCCGTGGTAACAGCACAGACTTATCATCATCTTAAACTGTCTTTCCTTGTTTAACCAATCAATAATATAATTACCATAATAACTCAAATAATTCCTTTTGAAATAACACAGACATTCAAGAGGCTATAGTTGTACAAATCTTCCAAGCTGAATAAAAACAAGTTGCTCAAGACTTAAAAGTAACAGCAGAGACAAATATTGGTAACAGCACAGACATTTGGTCAGCTTTATCTAACTATTCTTGTCCAATCACTCAATATTCAAATTTTATGAAACATTAAGACATATGTTTTCAAATTTATCACAGTTTAGAAGAAAACATATATACATAAAAAATAGACTACTTTGTTGAAGATAGTTATCTGATGAAAAAGTAACAGCACAGACATTCCGTGGTAACAGCACAGACTTATCATCACCTTAAACTGTCTTTCCTAGTATAACCAATCAATAATATAATTACCATATTAACACAAATAATTCTTTTGTAATAACACAGGCATTCAAGAGGCTATGGCTGAACAAATCTTCCAAGCTAAATAAAAAAAATTGGTTAAGACTTAAAAGTAACAGCACAGACATTTGGTCATCTTTATCTAACGTTTCTTATCCAATCACTAAATATTCTAATTTTATGAAACATTAAGAGATATGTTTTCAAATTTATCACAGTTTAGAAGAAAACATATATACATAAAAAAATAGACTACTTTGTTGAAGATAGTTATCTGATGAAAAAACAACAGAAGGGTGGAGAAGACAGGTGGTGTGGTGGAAAAGGGTGAGGTTGTGAAAAGTGTGGAGAGGACAGGTGGTGTGGTGGAGAAGGGTGAGGTTGAGAAAAAGGTGGAGAGGACAGGTGGTGTGGTGGAGAAGGGTGAGGTTGAGAAAAGTGTGGAGAGGACAGGTGGTGTGGTGGAGAAGGGTGAGGTTGAGAAAAGTGTGGAGAGGACAGGTGGTGTGGTGGAGAAGGGTGAGGTTGAGAAAAGTGAGAGTGTCATTTTACTATCCGTTCCAGATGATACAGAAGAGTGTCTTGGAAAATGTGTGGTTGTGTTATATGATGGTTTTCCATATCCTGGATACATAGATGTTTCTACCTATGATATATATGTCGAATGCATGCACAAGCCTGGCAAAAAATGAGATCAAAAATGATTCTTTTGGCCAAGACTCCTGCTGGACAAATGCTGGTACAAGCACGAGGACATTATTACCATCATTCCTGAACGAAAGAAGATTGAAGGCACTGCTTCCCACTTCAGTGTTGAAAACATTTACTGGGAAGCTATTACAGATATGATAAAACAGAAACAATAAACAACCTGTGGTTTCTGGGTGAATGAAAGGCACCATTTAATTCTGGCACTAATCAAATAAACATAGATACAAGTGAATTGTACTTTTAAGGAAACTATAATTCACCTTTTCAGACCGTTTATTTGAGTATTTGCGAATACAATTGCAAAAGAATACAGCTTCAACAGGAAATCTTCTGACAAGTTTTTTTTCTCCAGATTACGTTGATGTTTGACATGGATAAAGTTGGTTATTGTGTTGTTGCTTCATGACAAAAACTGTCACATGACTATTTAGTGTAAGTTTAAATCAATTTAAATTCTTTGTAATTCTAGGGATTAACCCAAAATGCAAAAGTTATTGTCTTTGGCGTTACTTCCGTCTGTGCTGTTACCTACCAGTATCCTACATTCAGATTACATAGAAGAACATTCAGTTAATAACATCCATATGATCAGATACTGTTAATTAAGCAAAACATTTTCTTATTTGTCAGAGTTCAAAACTTTGAACTTCTGAACAGGATAGTTGACTGCAAACATAAGTTTGTCCGTCCTGTTACTTTCAATTGTCCGTCCTGTTACCGCCCGGTTTATATAGTTCAGATTACATACAAGAATATTCAGTTAATTACACCTTATATGTTCAGGTGTAATCAATTGCACATACTTTTTTCGTATTTGTCAGATATTTCAAAATCTTGAAACTCCTGAACGTTATAGTTATCTGCAATCAAAGCCGATTGTCCGTCCTGTTACTTTCAATTGTCCGTCCTGTTACTACGTTGTCTGTCCTGTTACCAGCACTTAAAATAGAAATATACTGATTATTTATTTTTATTTTTCAGAAGAACATATTTGAATTCAAACATATATCATCTAATGAAGCATATGTGTCAAATATATGATGCAATAATCAGGGTATGTTTGTCATATTGGATTTGAATGAATTCAAATGTTTTCATTTGACTCAAATGCTGGACAAATCTGTCCATAAAATAATGTATCCAATCTCTTTTTAATTGTACTCATTGAAATATTAAACAATACATTTAAAAACAAGAACTGACATGATTTGTGTTGAACTTTGAAAAATATTGTTACAGAAAATATAATTGTTAACATGGTAACAGGACAGACATATTTTTCCTATTCAGTGTTAATTAATTATCATAATTAGGACATCATTGATTATTAAGGTGTCATTTTGCTTAACATTATTATTCAGAAGTTACTTTGTGTACTGAGTCAATAAAAAAGGAATTTTACAAAAGACAATTTTGATGTTTTTGCTTAGTTGAAATTCTGACATTTTTTGAGAATGACCCATATAGGAATGGGGGCCATTCCGTCGCGTTTCGTTTCCGGAGCAGAACTAAAAAAGCATGAGATATATCTTATTCTTAACTAAACTTAGCACATAGATAGGTCTAGTGGTGGCACAGATTTTGAAAACCGTGCAATATTTCTTCACCAAACTTGGCATATAAATAGGTCTAGTGGTAAACTGGTGCCTTTTGATACTATGAGAATTTCTAAAAAACATATATTTTTTAGTTTCCCTGACAACGACTTTGACTTAGACTGAAAATCACCAACTCTCCAACTCACTGTCTTGGTACTTCATTGGACTTCTTGTTTACTGATCATGCCAGTGCTGTAGCATTCCAGACTCCAATCTACTGCTCATATCATCCAATGATTGGTGCTGTACTTCTCAGTACACCTCATGATCACCCCTGCTCCCAATGATCTCTAAGTAAAGTAAGAATTCCCTTACTTCTCTGATTATTGTTTAAGTTATAACACAACTCATTACAAATACAGTTATGTTTTCTATCATAAACTGCAGATGGTAAAACAACAACAGTAATAACTTTTTTAGTGCTTGCAATCAGGCCACTTACAAAAAGGTCCATTAAACATATACACAGTAAAAAAAGTGTTGCACCCCCTATACTTTTTCATGGAGGGGTGTTTTGAAAGGGTGTAAAGATAACCGAATTAATATTATAACCAGGATTTCGTGTATACCAACAAACCAGTGTATTGTCTATACAATGAACTTAAATGGGGTATTCCATGACCTTATGGCATGTAATAATCTCATGCTGAACTTTTACGAAAAATGAACAAACAACGAAGACGCATTAAGTATGGTGACATCTCAATAATTTTTAGTGACCAAATTCATCCAATAGGGTAAGAATGTCATATGGAGATTTGACGAACACAGTAAGTCAATATCGAGAACTTCCACCAAGCACTTGGATCACAGCTTGAAGTCTTCGTCTCATACTCCTCACCAGACGTTGGAATCGCTCCATGGGCAGCTGCTGCCACTCCTCGTGTAATGCTGCTTCCAATTCACGCAAGTTCTGTGGAGGAGGGTCCCGACGATAAATCAGGCGTCCCAAAATGTCCCATACATGTTCCAGAGGATTCAGATCTGGACTCATTGCTGGCCATGGAATCTGCGTCAGAGCATTGTTGTGGATAACCTGGGTCACAGCTCGTGAACGATGTGGTCTGGCATTGTCATCCATGAATATCGGTCTGGTGGCCAGTGGATGATTGTCAAAATGGGGCACCACAACTGGATTCAGCACCTCTTGGATGTAGCGCTCCCCTGTCAAGTTGCCTCGTATGGTCACTAAATCAAGCTTACAATCAAATGAGAAGCATCCCCAGACCATAACAGATCCACCTCCATATGGTACAGTTGGCATGATGTTTCTTGCAGTATAAGCTGTTCCAGGACGCCTCCATACTCTCACTCTGCCATCCACAACATGCAGAAGAGACCTGCTTTCGTCCGACCAGTGGACTCTTCTCCAGGACCTCAAGTTCCAGTTCTGTCTCAGTCTACACCAGGCTAGACGTAGTCGTTTGTGGTTGTCTGTGAGTTTAGGTCGCTTGATAACCCTTCTGGACTTCAACCCTGCAGCTTTAAGACGATTTCTCACGGTCTGGGTACTGAACTGTTGACGAGGAAGCCAAAGACGTTTCAAGGTTGTGCTTGTAGCAAATGGATGACGCCTTACCACCCTCAACAACGCTCTGTCATCTCTAACTGTGGTCTTACGTGGTCTGCCAGAGGGTCTGCCATTCCTTACATCATTAGTTTGTGCGTGTTTTCTGACCAAACGGCTTATTGTTGAGTAGTGATGTCCGGTTCTTCTGCCAATCTCCTTGAACGAAAGACCTGCTCCATGAAGGCCAATAATCTGCCACTTGACTGCTTCTGACAATCGTCTACCCGGCATTGTGGGTTACAATAAACTGGGCTGTCAGAGAACATCTTTTATAGGCGATGTTGAGCTTAAGAAGATACTGCAATCTGCAAATGTCATGCACCATGCAATTCACGTGCTGATTGCTACGTTTTGGTGATCATCTTCCCTCCGAAAACATTACACATTTAACATCAGATCCCCAAGGAATACCTACCATTAAAACCAGAGTCGGGCGTTTTAAATGTTGTGATGTATCAAACGTATTAATGTGGGGGTGCAACACTTTTTTTACTGTGTATAGTTCAAAGGAGCTTATGGCTTGCACACAACCGGACATGTAATATTGGCGGGAGATATGAGTATTTCATGCTTGTATTTATCTGAATTGCTCAGTGTAATAATTACATTGAGAGTAGGTAACATCATGCTGACTGTGTTCATAATGTCTGTTTTAAAATCCAACAAGACAGTCGGGCAGGTGACCCATAAATGTTGCTTGCCCATCTTCAAAAAGAAGTGACATCACCTGTTTCATCTCCTTATCAGTCACCGAGCACACAGTTTCTCTGGATCGTGAGCTTGGTATTAAGAATCAGTGCCTCTTCTGAACCCGAGTTCAGCACAGATCTACTTTCAAAGTTGCAGCCTTGAATCAGAAGAATGTCATGGAAGAATTATTAGCTGGAAAAGATGATTTCAAAAGAAGGCGGGAGCGGAAGACATTCCTAGCTGTATTTGAGAGGGTGAACAAGACTACTGGTGACACACCTGCTTGTCGCGATCACAAAACAAGTGTAAATTGATTGGACATTTGTTCTTGGTGTCATGTCATTCTTAACGAAGCTTAGGTCGTGAGTGGATCAAGGGAATAATGTGGAAACTTTAAGCACTGGATAAATCGATGATGCTTTTAACTATTTCATGTAAGGATATTGATGACTGTCTTTTGCCTTCACAGAGATTTCATCAACACAAACACGTCCAACGATAGTGACAGGACTCTTGTAGATGTAAGTATCTAGCCAAGTTGTCAGATTAATATTTTGTGAGACTTCAATGTTGTGACTTTATTGAAATGGATGATGGATGTGTGGGTGGTTCTGGGCTGGAGTAAAACAGGTGACTAAATGAATCAGGGGCGGTGGGGTAGCCTTGTGGTAAAAGTGTTGGCTCGTAACGTCGAAGACCCGGGTTCGATTCCCCACATGGGTACAATGTGTGAAGCCCATTTTCCAGTGTCCCTGGCCATGATATTGCTGGAATATTGCTAGAAGCGGCGTAAAACACTACTCATTCACTAAATGAATCGGGTGGTCATACTCAGTGTCTTGTGTCATTGTACCCCAATGGCCTGGATCAAGGATGGCATAATCATTGCTCATTATATCAATCACTGGATTATCTGGTCCAGACTTGATTGTGTGCAAGCCGCTGTCATATAGTTGGAATATTGCTGAGCATGTAGTTCAACAACAGTCAACCAAACATGGATGTGTGTTATGTGGAGACAGAAAGATACAACTACATGCTTCACTATCAGGTCAGTGCAAGATAGTGTTGAAGTGACATAATGCCGTCTAGAAGACCCCAGGCAGCGATAAAAGCTGTTTTAGTTCACTAGTCCTTATAATGATAACATATAGCAAAACACTTAATAATGGCAAAATTTCTACTGGGGCTTAAGATACCTAAACTATTGGGCTGTTTGGCAAGGACTGTCAGGGCAATATTCCAGGAGGATCTTCTGTCTGCATATTCCTTCTGTGATTGTGATTGATGACTTATTGCAGAGTACCGGTAACCCCATTGACAGGACACTGCTAGATAGGGTGGACTCTATGGACAGTCAGGATGATCTCGGACATGCTTGGAACAGGCAGAATAGTGTAAGTAGACTTGACACACTAAACAAGAAGTAGAATGGTTGGACTGTGTGGAAAGTGGATGATCTGGAACCTGCACATCAATTAATCAAAGTCTTCATCTTGTTTTCATGTTGTTGCTGGTAAATCATCTTTGAAAGTACAAAAATGATTTGAAGAATTTTTGTGAAAAGACATTTGATTGAAATTTGATTGAGTTAAATGTAGGGTTGTAGCAATGTCACAATACAATAGACATCTCAATAGTCCGTCCACAGTACAGTGTAAAGACGATGGATTCTATCAACAATGGCAGTGACTCAAAAACTATTTTGATTGCTTATAAATGTTATCATCCAAAACTGGCTCCCAAAGGAGATATCTCTTGGGTGAGATCAAGCGATATCTACATTGTACATATCTCTGCAATGAAATTGCATCACAATGCTTTGCAGACCATTGTGACGTCATTGGTTACCATGATGTCACAATCAAATGACATCACTAATGGCTCTGTTACTGAAGCTGTAAGCAGTACTTTTTACACTTAAGACACTGCTTATTACTGTCTACAAACTGAAAAAGTTGGAAGAATGATGTTGGATGATAAATAAAATCTCACCTTTGTGTCTTTTGATATATCAACACTTAAGAATTGACTTTCACTTTGTGTGAGTTCATTGGAGTATGAACCTTCATAGAGTGAGGACCTAACTGTATGAACATCGCAGCTTGCGATGATGTTCATACAATGTTTGGCCCTCAGAAACATGCTTCAGAAACAAGCGCAACACATGTATTCAAATAATATCACCATAAGATGAGAAAGGTATGTTAAGAACTAGAGCTGGTGATTTAGATCGATAATCGTAATTATCATCGATGGAAGAAGGTTGTGACGATTATCGATATGAATATAATGCTATCGATAATGACATGTATTTTTTCGACAAATAAAAGTTTTTACTGCAACACATTTGACTTATTTGTTTTGCTGTCCTTGTAATTATCGCTAGATATAAACAGATTCACCCTAACATACAGTTTCCTCCCCTTCGCTTTATGTTTAGTCGCAAATAATAATCAAATGTTTCAAAAAGTAAAAAGTTCTGCTTTGAATCAAACGACGACGCCATTACGTGTTGTTACTTGGTAATTACAAATGTAGTCACTGGCATCTAAATGCGGAGTCAGGATTTTAGAAAATATGTATATTTTCGAAATAGTATGAAGTATCATGATTAAAATAGGTTTCATAATACTTTAATTCTTAAAAAGAATTCTTCCCATTCTATTTCATAAAATTTCAAATTTTATGTCTATTTGGTAACTACGTATTCCAGTCTGTTTCGATTTTTTCAATGATCATAGTTTTCGTTTTTCCCGGTATTCTCAACTCACAGCCTACGTGAGGTCCACGTGGGGTTTGACATTTTTACGATATGGCAGCAAAGATTCCTAATTTCCCCGTTATAATCGCACGATGTTTGTTTAATATCAGTCTGCCACCCAATCTATTACGTATCACACCTGTGAACCTAGTACAACCTACTACGTAGCACACACCTGTACACACCGGACATTCACAATGGCGGAATATTTGATGATTTTTTATCTGAATAGTTTCGTGAATACTGTACATAAATGACAAACGACTATATCAGGTGAAATTACATTTAATTTCTCAATTACCGTATTTTCTTGAGTACAGTGCGCACCCATGTATAATGCGCACCCCCCTCTAGCGGGTTCAATATTTTGGAAAAAAAGAAATTTGAATATTATGCGCAGAAAAAATTTCACCGTACCCTTTCAGCGAAGTCCGGCACACGAACGGGTGATGAGAAACTTCGTCAGTACAAATTCGAAATTTGAGATAAAAAAATCACCAGACATGTTTATTTACCGTTTAAATAGTATTTATTGTTCTGCTAGGCATTGTTTTATATCCAGGGATTAAGATTACCTTGTGTATTTTCTCGTAAACTAAGCCGGAAACAGCAATCAGCTGTACACACGTTTTCTTGGAATCGACCGGTGATTCGGTCAAGACACCCAATGATATAACTTAATAGGATTTTTAATGCAAGGATCGGCAAAAATTGTATATGAAACTATTTTTTTTATCAAGAATAATATATTCCATTATTTTCTTAATTATATGCAGCCTTTACTAAACATATTTAAAATAGATAATAACCCTAAGCGAAGCAGCTGATCGCTATTCCCGGGTATTATTTTTTACATGGACCCAGTCTGACCAGTCACCGTCAAGGCTCACGCGCACGTGATCGCGTGATCGCGAGAATTTCATGTTGACATAGAATCTTCAAACAAAAACAAATATGACTTTTAACGAGTCAAAGTATGTCATTTATGATATATGTATCCATTCTCTGTCAACTAAAGTTCGTTTCAAGACGTCAATAGCGGTATTCTGACCGTGGTTGCTGTTAATAACGGTGAGTTGTGCGATCTTCCGATCGCTTCACACACGATTTCGCCGAAATTAATAAAAACAATATTAAAAGGAATACTCAAGAAAATACGGTATTCTCACTTTATACAAATAATAATTGTCTTTGACGACATGAATCGTAAACTCAGATTGTTCATCGCTAAAAATGCGATGTAACGTGCGCATTGTTGAAACACTGAGTCTCCGGAGAAGTGAATTGCCATTTTTCTGTAATGTCATTTTACCAAAATAGAATTCTTTGATATTTATCGATTATTGATCGATATGTGACTACCGATAATCGATCTGAGTAATCCATATCGATAACCAGCCCTATTAAGAACTACCTCAGTAAGTCAGTCACAATGACAGCACGTCGGAATACATTTACATCAAGTACAAGATGGCCGACACAATAAACGTGACGGGAGAGATTTCGGGAGTTGCTAATGAACCCATGGCGGTTACGTGTTTTAGTCATCATTGATCATTGCCGACCATTGAAAGGTGATTAAAGATGCGTCAAATAGACCCTAAGGTAAACTCATAGATTGCTGTAGACAGTCACTGCCAGCCTACACACGAGTCGATACTACCATAGTGCATTTCTTCATTTTGTTCACTAGGATGGGTCGTAGCCAGGATATTCATGAATGATTATGCAGTCAATCTCTGATGTTTCTCAATGTATACTAAAACGCTGAGTTCAAGATTAAAGGAACAAAATGATCAGAAAGAACGCTTCTGTACATATTCGTGTTAGGGAATTCCCAGGGGTTTCGAAAGGAATGTGGAAATTAGTCCGTCAGTGACGTCATTTCAAGAACATGGTTTCACTTCAAATTGTGTCGTTCATACACTTACGAACGTCAATTTCACAGTCAGGTAACCAGCCTCTCGTCCTATATAAAAGCTGAATATTGTGTAAACTTGAAATTAAAAAATAATTCGTTGATAAAAGTGGCAAACCTTGGAGTTTTTCCACTTTTATCAACTCGTGTTGATATATTTCATATCAAAAGACACTCGGGTGAGATTCTCTATGCCCTATTGGTGCAGCCCTTTGACAATGTTGATGAACTCCCCTACTGTATTTATATTGTTAAGATACAAGACGTCACTGTCTGTTGTGGCGTGTAAAAAAGATTCTCTATGCTCTATTGGTACAGCCCTTTGACAATGTTGATGAACTCCCTACTGTATTGTGTTGTTAAGATGATGGTGGTTGGGTGTTGCAGTTGTCGGTTGCCATGAAGGAGTGGGACATCCCGTATGAAGAGCTACAGTTCACCGAGTCCATAGGGAGGGGACGACTAGGCACAGTGTTCAAGTAGGTGTATTACCCGGAGTCTCACCACTGTAGGTAGCCTTGTGGTTAAAGCCTTCACTCGTAGTGCCGAAGACCAAGGTTCAATTTCCCACATGGGTACAATGTGTGAAGTCCATTTCTGGTGTCCCCTGCCATGATATTGCTGGAATATTGCTAAAAGCAGCTTAAAGCCATACTCACTCATGCAGTGTAGGCCATGTTTATGCCCATGTGGTGTACGCCTACATACAGGTTCTATACAGGCTCTTTCAGCATGACGTCACAGTCTGTGGTGGCGTGTAAACACGTCACTTTGAGTTCAAATCTCATACAGAAAACCTCAACAGTCTACACAACTGATAGACAATTCATGGTTCTCTTCGTTCAAACCTCATTTAGGAATCACAGACATTACGATTACCTACTCATGGGTTTGACCAAAGTGGTAAATGTCTTAGACCGTCATCACTTGACCCACAAGCTCTGAAAACGGAAATTCTGTTGAAAGTGCTGTTAAACCAAGAGCACTCTCTTACTCAAACTGCATTAAATTTACAAGGTAGACACAATTTTAAGGATAACAACTTCTTTAATCTTTAATACTGTAAAAAGTGACGTTTTGGTATAGATCCTTATACCGTTGTCAAGCAAAACTGAATGAGGGACATAGTACAGAATATATATAGTAGCTGGAGGATTAATAGTAACAACAATTGCATACATGAGTGGGATAACATGAGTAAGGAATAACAACAGAAGGATAATACTGTCACAGCATGATGGACAGAGAACACATAGGTGGAGGCCAATAGGGACATGAAGCCAATAAACAGGATAAGTGATTATTGCTTGATGAGTTCATAGTAGGCAGATGGGATGAACTAGCCTTGATCTCTGTTGATTGATGGCTTGTGGCGGTGAATGTGGATTGCTTCTGTTAGTTTTCTTTTAGTGAAATCATGGAGGTTGTTGGCGAGGATTTGGACGTTGTCCCAGTTGATGTTGTGATCTGGACAGTTGTTGATATGGTCCGAGATGGCTGATTTACTGTCGGATTTAATGGTGGAGGTTTTGTGCTCTTTCATTCTGGTTTTGATTGGGCGGGATGTTTCACCTACGTAAGATTGTCCACAGTTGCAGTCAATTTTGTTAACTACATCTTTAGGCCTTTATAAGGATCTATACCGAAACATCGCTTTTTACAGTACTAAAGTGTTAAAAGCGGCGTTAAACCCAACTCACCCAAGTACAGTACTAAAGAAGTTGTTATCCATAAAATTGTGTCTACCTTGTCATCCGTCAACTTCTAAGTAATGCCTATCAAACAATGCATTAAATTTAACTCACTCACTCATCACTCTACCTGGGGCGGCCGGGTAACTTAGTGGTTAAAGCGTTCGGTCGTCACGCCGAAGACCAGGGTTCGATTCCCAACATGGGTACAATGTGTGAAGCCCATTTCTGGTGTCCCCCGTCATGATATTGCTGGAATATTGCTAAAAGCGGCGTAAAACCATACTCACTCACTCACTCATCACTCTACCTACTTATTGCTGTTCACTATTTCTGATGACGTGTCTTCATTGCAGGGGTCAGTGGCACGGAGACGTGGCCATCAAGTTATTAGACATGGGTAACGAGGCGGACAATCAGGCACAGCTAGCGGCGTTTAAATTAGAGGTGAGATAGACGCAGCACAGAGATGCAAACCATTACGGTTGCGGTGGAAATATTACCCTATTTTGTAGGGCTGGCTTAAAAGATCTATAATCGGAATTATCGTCGATGGGAAGAAATATTAATGATTATGGATATGAACATTGTCATTGATAATATCTTACATAAATTATTGTGAAATAAAGTTTCAATTTACCGAAGCAGACTTGTTTTGGTCCATTGACGAAGATGGAAAACAACTGATTTTGTTATTTCTTAAATCTTCACAAAGTAATTCATGCATATATGTGTCCCCACTCACGAGGACATGAGATATGTTCTTTGTCTCTGAGCCTTTTGCATACTTGCTCAAAAATACTTCTCCGATATTTATCGATAATTCATCGATATTTGGTGAACGATTATGGATCTCTAAGAGCTATATTGATAGTCAACATATATATTGCAAGTTCACCAATTCGAACCACGTCAAACTGAATGCTATTCACTCACTCATGAAATTGTTTCAAATAAAACATTTTGACAGTCGTCTTTACTTTCAATCCTTGTCAAATGTTACTGTATAAGGTGTTATATAGTTTGGTAAACTGAATTTAGAATCTTTAATCTGATACATCAGCTTAATATCCAGTGCTCCCCAACATACATGGGAGAATGCTATTATCAATCTTGTTTCCATTTTTCTGTTTCAAATTCAAACACATTTTTTTCACAAAACATACATGAAAAGTAAGTATTATTATGTTTTATTAAAGGTTTATAACATTTTTTTCAGTACACATAAAACATTGTATATGCAGGCAACAGACTTAAATATTCAGTGGCAGATTTCTATCAGTACTGGCTGTAGATGGGTGTACCTGCAAAATACTTTCAAGGACGTTGGTTTAGGGTATTATCTGATCGTGTTGTTTTTATTCCTCATTAGATGCAGTTTCTATTAAATTGTTTCAAATTATGATTCAGGGTGTTTTTCTTCTATTTACAGATCGCATTATTAAGGAAAACACGTCATGAAAATTTAGTTTTATTTATGGGAGCTTGTATGAAGCCTCCAAGACTAGCCATAGTAACTAGGTGAGTTGTTACACTGATTGACGTTTCTGTGATGTGTTGCCTTGTTTATATGCTGGAGTCGATGCAGGGGTGAGTGCTGGGGTCGATTCAGGGGTGAGTGCTGGGGTCAATGCAGGGGTGAGTGCTGGGATCAATGCAGGGGTCAGTGCTGGGATCAATGCAGGGGTCAGTGCTGGGATCAATGCAGGGGTCAGTGCTGGGATCAATGCAGGAGTCAGTGCTTGGATCAATGCAGGGGTCAGTGCTTGGATCAATGCAGGGGTCAGTGCTGGGATCAATGCAGGGGTCAATGCAGGGGTCAGTGCTGGGATCAATGCAGGGGTCAGTGCTGGGATCAATGCAGGGGTCAGTGCTGGGGTCAATGCAGGGGTCAGTGCAGGGGTCAGTGCTTGGATCAATGCTGGAATCAATGCAGGGGTCAGTGCTGGGATCAATGCAGGGGTCAGTGCTGGGGTCAATGCAGGGGTCAGTGCTGGGATCAATGCAGGGGTCAGTGCTGGGATCAATGCAGGGGTCAGTGCTTGGATCAATGCTGGAATCAATGCAGGGGTCAGTGCTGGGATCAATGCAGGGGTCAGTGCTGGGGTCAATGCAGGGGTCAGTGCTGGGATCAGTGCAGGGGTGAGTGCTGGGATCAATGCATGGGTGAGTGCTGGGATCAATGCAGGGGTCAGTGCTGGGATCAATGCAGGGGTCAGTGCTGGGATCAATGCAGGGGTCAGTGCTGGGATCAATGCAGGGGTCAGTGCTTGGATCAATGCAGGGGTCAGTGCTGGGATCAATGCAGGGGTCAGTGCTGGGATCAATGCAGGGGTCAGTGCTTGGATCAATGCAGGGGTCAGTGCTGGGATCAGTTCTGGGGTCAATGCTGGCGGATATTGCCCAAAGACATTGTGTGATAACGTCACACTTATGGCCCATGGGACATGTATTCAGTGTTTGAAATAATGTTAAAACCCAACAAGACAGTCGGGCAGGTGACCCATGTGTTGCCTGCCCATCTTCAAAGTTACCTGCCTGCATTCCGACATTATAAATATTGAAAAATTGCCACAAAAAATAAGATGCTAATCGTGTCTTGATTCAGTTAAAATAATGGCAAAAATTACTTGAGAATCTACAATGAGTTAATATTAAACTGAATACGTGAGTAGTCTTAAAATTATATGCCAGACAGTCGGGCAATGGAGGAAAATTTCAGAAAAGTTACCAGCCACGGGCAGTTGGGCAGGTAGTTGTATCAGACACTGTATGTATTATGTAAGAAATGAAGGAAACCTGTTCCAATCATTATGAAAGTTATCAGATATGTGGGCGGTCGGCTAGCCTAGTGGTTAAAGCGTTCGCTCGTCACGCCCGAGACCAAGGTTCGATTCCCGACATGGGTACAATGTGTGAAGCCCCTTTTCTGGTGACCCCCGCCGTGATATTGCTGGAATATTGCTAAAAGCGGCGTAAAACCATACTCACTCACTCACTCACTATCAGATATGTACCTATGAATGAGAATTAGATCCTTATTTATTTTATCCCTTGCATGTTCAAGACTTATGACGACACATTGCATTGTTGAGGCTACAGTGTCTGAAAAAGGCTGATCTTAGAAGTTTTCAGGAAGCGTTTTGCTTATATTTTTATGTGAGCAAGTCTTTGACCCAAGCTGATTTTCCTATTAGATGTAACTAACTATGAAACAAACTTCGGGTTGAAAATTCATCTTGGGTCTCATTGAGTTTCCTCCCTTAGCCATGTCAGGATACACAGGTCCTCAGTTCCAATTGATCACACATTGCCAGAGGTAGACACCAGGGATACCCTGTGAAGATCCAGGTTAGAATTGATCTTCAGCAACCAGTGCTAGTTTTAGGAGGTCACTAACAAGATCGGGTGGTCAGGCTCGGTGACTTGGTTGATGCATGTCATTGTATCACAATTGTGTAGATAGATGCTCATGATGTCAATCACTGGATTGTCTGGTCCAGACACAGTTATTTACATACCGCTGCCATATAGCTGGAATATTGCTGAGTGTGGCATTAAACAATAAACAAGTAAACTCCACAGAAAGACACCAGGGAACCATTTTGCCAAAAGCTCATAATGCTAAGACTAACTCCTATACATTTACATAGACCTACGACAGTTGTAGTGTTACGATTTCTTTGTGAAATGTGGTCCTATCCAACTTGTCCTCAGCTCATTTCTTACAAGTAGGTTATGTAAAATGTGTAGAAATGCTCTCTAGATTTTCACTCATTTTGGACTAATGGACTAATGTCTGTCTATCTGAGAGCGATGATGGATTGGTAAACTTTGTAATACCACCTAATAGCAAGAAAGAACGAGTTCCAAAATTATCAGTACACTGCCTGTTTGAGCCTAGCCTTTGATGCCTTGAATGATTGGCTGTTTACAATAGCAGTTTGTGCAGGGTATGTGTTGAGTTGAACAATAGAAAAAAATAAACATTATCCTAGCAGATTAAATGATTCTTTGAAGAGATTTAAAACAGGGTTTACTTCGTGCTTGCTTAAGAAATGCAGTCGATATGAATTCTGGATTTCCCTGTTTATATCCAAAGAACAGATATTCAACTAGACAATGAAACCTACTTCATTTTATTTGCATTCATTGTCTATTTTTATCTATTTCTATTTCAGCTTTTGTAAGGGAGAGACCCTGTACAGTATTATCCATACCAAGAAAGAGGTCTATAAACTGAATAAAGCGATGATCGCTGCTTCTCAAGTAGCTCAGGTCAGTAGCCAACGGAAGGAAGCAATCACAGTAGCTTCTCAAATAGCTCAGGTCAGTAGCCCACTGAACATATCCATGATTGTTGCATCATGTTTAGTAGCTCAGGCCAGTAGCCCACTGAACATATCCTTCATTGTTGCAACATGTGCAAATAGCTCAGGTCAGTAGCCCACTGAACAAATCCTTCATTGTTGCAACATGTATAGTAGCTCAGGTCAGTCGCCCACTGAACAAATTCTTGATTGTTGCAACATGTTTAGTAGTTCAGGTCAGTCGCCAACTGAACAATTTTATGAGTGTTGCATCATGTGCAAATTGCTCGGGTCAGTAGCCCACTGAACAAGTCCTTGATTGTTGCAACATGTATAGTAGCTCAGGTCAGTCGCCCACTGAACAAATCCTTGATTGTTGCAACATGTATAGTAGTTCAGGTCAGTAGCCCACTGAACAAATCCTTGATTGTTGCAACATCTATAGTAGCTCAGGTCAGTCGCCCACTGAACAAATCCTTGATTGTTGCAACCTGTATAGTAGCTCAGGTCAGTCGCCCACTGAACAAATCCTTGATTGTTGCAACATGTATAGTAGCTCAGGTCAGTAGCCCACTGAATAAGTCCTTGATTGTTGCAACATGTATAGTAGCTCAGGTCAGTAGCCCACTGAACATATCCTTCATTGTAGCTTTTACCTGTAGCTTAGGCCAGTAGCCCTCCGATCTCATTAAAATCAGATCTAAGTTCTCGCTCCCGCTAATCAAAGATCTGAGGACATCCCATTACGGGTCATGACAGAACCACCTTTGACCGACCACTGAAAGGACTAACAAGAAGTCGACATCAGCCAATTAGAAAGCAGCTTTCTCAAGCTTTACGGCATTCATTTCAACCCGGTGACTTCAATTTCAGACTACACTTGAAAAATATGTTGACACAGTTCTCGATTAAAATTTTGAAAACTGAATTAACGAACATTCCGGAATGTCAAATATATGGTTGAGATTGTATGGCAGTGCTTCCCACGTTCTGTGCAAGGTCTCCTCCATTCAAATGTTTATCCCACGGGAGCGAGAGATAAACAATAATATTATACGTAATCAGTCGTACGGGCTGTAACTGTCGTTCAGAATACCCCGTGTTAACGTTTTCGAGGTTGCATGATTAGAAAACACATTCCGACTGTCACTTTTATGATCTGGTAAGCGGCGCTTTGATTGGTAGGATGAAAGGTCGTTCTGACATGACCCATAATGGGATGTCCTCAGATCTTTGTTTAGCGATAGCGAGAACTAAGATCTGATTTTAATGAGATTGGTAGCCCATTAAACAAATCCTTCATAGTATCATTTACCAGTAGCTGAGGCGAGTAGCCCTTTAAACAAATCCTTCATAGTACCATTTACCAGTAGCTCTGGCCAGTAGCCCTCTAAGTCTAAATCCCGGGAAATGTGTTTGTGTTTGAGGTGAAGATGTTCCTCTGCTGCTTCAACTAAAGTGTAGAAATCCCAGATATTGAGTGATCAGTTGCCAATTCTCGGTTTGTGGATGTATAGTGCATTATATTTTATAATGATATTAATTTTTTGCCATGTTAATCTTAAACGTTCACATTTATAAATGCCACATCAAGTGTCTGCTTGCAGGCCACAAGATATTAGGGTGTACACGTATCTACAAGGTGACCGTTCATATAGAACATGGGGCCATGGGGTAGCCTAGTGGTTAAAACGTTCACTCGTCACACTGATGACCCGGGTTCGATTCCCACATGGGTGCAATGTGTGAAGCCCATTTCTAGTGTCCCCTGTGGTGATATTGCTGGAATATTGCTACACACGATGTGAACCCATACCCACTCATATACCGACTCGTCCATCTTATGACACAAGCAGAACCCCACACGCTGGTGCAATGTGAAGTAGGAACAGTGGGAATCATGCCATTTACAATCTCATTAAAGTCAGATCTTAGAGCTCGCTACCGCTACACAACGATCTGAGGACATCCCATTGCACGGCATGTCAGAAGGACCTTTTGCTAACTTGACCAACCAATGAAATGACTAAGAAGAAGTCAACATAAGCCAATTGGATCGCAGCTTTCTCAAGCTTTACAGCACTAGTTTCAAACTGGTGACTTTAATACAGAACTATGCTTTGACAACTATCGATTCCAAATTTGAAAACTAAACACAAGAAAATTCTGGAATGTTTGAGGGATGGTCAAGATTATATGACTACTTCACACAGGCTAAGGAAAGTTTCTTCTGTTGAAAATGGTCATTCCTTTGAAGCGAGAGATAGGCACTGTCTAGCATACTGAATCATTCATACAGCCCGTAACTGTTGTTCGGAATACCCTGTTAACCTTATTGAGTTTGCATGATCAGAAAACACATTACACCTGTCACTTTCCTACTCTGGTAAGTGACGCTCGCTCTAAGTGGTCGGATGAAAGGTAATTCTGACATGACCTGTAATGGGATGTCCTCAGTTCTTTGTTTAGCGGTAGCTGGAACCAAGATCTGAATTTATTGAATCTGAATCTGTGCCATTTAAGAACTGACTGTTTAATATCAGGGCAGGGGCCGGCATTGTATTTAGGATGGAGACAAACTATGTTTTCAATCAGCTAGTCAATATGTACTATATATTTCTTGGAAAGAAGGAACCCAAAAAATCAAAACAATCCCAGGCCCTACCTGCCCACAATATCGAATGGTAGATCGTTTTGACCAGAGCAATGTTAGAAATTCAGTTGTGTTCACTGTTCAATTACTTCCCTGACCACATTGTCATGTTATTTCTAGTTTTTTCACAGATGTGATTTTGTTTCAGGGCATGGGGTATCTTCACGCTAAAGGCATTGTCCACAAAGATCTGCGATCAAAAAATATTTTCTTGGACAATGGTAGAGTGGTCATCACTGACTTTGGGCTGTTTAATGTAACCAAAATCTGTAGAGGCAACAGGTGAGAACTAATTTCTTGTGCCTTGAGAATATGTGCCTATGCATGGTTCAGAGTGTTTTGAATGTGATACTGTATGACACTTAATGTGTGACTATAGCGAGATGATGAACAGTTTGAAGACATATTTTGGGAGTGAGTGAGTTGGGTTTAACGCCGCTTTTAAAAGTTTTCCAGTTATATCACGGCGTGTCAGCTTAATTTGGGAGGGAAAGGCCCAGGTAATGCAAGTCTCAGAAATTATGGAGTCTGGACCACACAACCTATGATCATAGGTTTCTGACGTGCCCAAGGGACACAACTCCGCTGGTCATAAGAGGCAGTGTGTATTGGACTAGGTGGTCAGGCCTGGTGACGGTTGATTGCGTTTCATTTTCTACAGCATAGGATTGTTAACTCATAGAGCTGGAATATTGCTGATTAGGATGTTTAACAACTAACAAGGAAGCAATTATTAACATTTCACAGTTGATGTAGATGACTTTCCAGTCTATTGAGCACCCGTGAAGATATGAGTTAGAATGGGTCTTCAGCAACTCATACTTGTTTTAAGAGATGACTAACAGGATCAGGTGGTCAGGCTCGCTGACTTCGTTGATGCATGTCATTGTATCCAATTGCGTGGATTGGTGCTCATGATGTCAACCACTGGATTGTGTGGTCCAGACACGATTATGTACAGACCGCCATCAGTAAGCTGGAATATTGCTGAGTGTGGTGTTCAGACATCAAACAAACAAACAAATCCAGTCTATTAAGAGATGCAGTGTTAGAACATTGAGCAATAACTATCAGTGAGTGAATCAGTCAGGTTTAACACCTGTTGGTAGTTGAAACTGACGAATGCCAGACTGGTGTATTTCTTAGTTTTAAGATGTGAAAACCTTGGTCAGTAGGTGGAAAATCATTTCAGATTATTTGTTTTGTTAAAAAATTATCTTTGTATTTTTGCCAAAAGTGCAGTGTTAGGTAAGCTTGTCTCATTGTTAGCATCGCAATGTATATTGTTGCAGTTAAACCCATTGTATGCAGGTTTGTGGAGTAGTATTGTGCTTTTTGTTTCTTTTGCGTCAGAATCAGTAAAATAACTCTTCGATTTTATTGGCCTATTGTGACTTTGATAAACTTGACACACTTCACGGTAAGACCCCCCCCCCTTTGTTCGTGCTAGCACTGACTGACTCCCTGACTTGTTCCTGTGATGTTGTAGGAAGGAGGAATGGCTGAGAGTTCCTCCAGGATGGCTGTGTTACCTGGCCCCGGAAATAATCCGGGAACTTCATGCCAGGCAGAACCCTAATACCGAACTGCCGTTTACTGTGAGGTCGGATATATATGCATTCGGAACTGTGTGGTACGAACTGCTGTGTGGGGAGTGGCCGTTCAGAAACCACCCCGCGGAGACCATCATCTGGCAGGTGGGGAGGGGGATGAAGCAGTCGCTCAGCAGCATCAACGCCCCCAGGGAAGTCAAGGTAAATATGAAGCATCAATGCTGGATAGTAACCAGTCTTGATCGTCTGGGGGCGGTTGGGTAGCCTAGTGGTTAAAGCATCGCTCGTCACGTCGAAGACCCGGGTTCGATTCCCGACATGGGTACAATGTGTGAAGCCCATTTCTGGTGTCCCCCGCCGTGATATTGCTGGAATATTGCTAAAAGCGGCGTAAAACCATACTCACTCACTCACTCACTTGATCGTCTGATGATGAAACAGATCCCACTGGGTGTAAAAGGCAAAATAGTGGTAAAAATGATATGAATGCATCACTGGAAATGAGTGATGACACCAGGGCCCAATTGCACAAAGTGATCTTAGCGCTAAGATGATCGTAACTCCCATGCTTTAACATAGGCTTACAATAGTTGTAGCGCTAAGATCGCTTTGTGCAAGTGGGCCCAGGTGTTCAAGAAAAGACATCTGTACACAGCAGCTTAACCATGAAAGACTACCATGGATCTTGAAAATCTACTGATTATGTTTTGACATTTGGTTGAAGGACATGTGAAGATCCGGGGTAGAATAGGTCTTCAGCAACCCATGCTTGCCGTAAAAGGCGACTATGCTTGTCGTCAGAGGCAACTATCGACATCGGGTGGTTAGACTCGCCGACTTGGTTGATCCATGTCTTCATATCCCAATTGCATGGATCGATGCTCATGATGTCAGTCACTGGATTGTCTGTCCAGACTCGGTTATTTACAGACCGCCGTCATATAGCTGGAATATTGCTGAGTGCGGCATTAAACAACAAACAAACAAACATTTGGTTGAAGAATATGAAAAGGCATCAGGAATTTCAATGTTTAAAAAACACACTACAGTTTGAAAAAAAGATGATAGCACAATTATTAGATTTGTCTAAAAGGAAAATAAGATTTATATTTTATTGACCTCATTTGAAGACTCGGGGTCAGTGTTCTCACTATTGACCTCTAGCTTGTTGCAGTGTACCTTGTGTAGATTCCTCCTGTGTCTCACTATTGACCTCTACCTTGGGCAAGTGGGCCTCTGTAATATCCTCCCGTGCCTCACTATTGACCTCTAGCTTGTTGCAGTGTACCTTGTGTAGAGTCCTCCTGTGTCTCACTATTGACCTCTAGCTTGTTGCACTGTACCTTGTGTAGATTCCTCCTGTGTCTCGCTATTGACCTCTAGCTTGTTGCACTGTACCTTGTGTAGAGTCTTCCTGTGTCTCACTATTGACCTCTAGCTTGTTGCAGTGTACCTTGTGTAGATTCCTCCTGTGTCTAGCTATTGACCTCTAGCTTGTTGCAGTGTACCTTGTGTAGAGTCTTCCTGTGTCTCACTATTGACCTCTAGCTTGTTGCTCTGTACCTTGTGTAGATTCCTCCTGTGTCTCGCTATTGACCTCTAGCTTGTTGCAGTGTACCTTGTGTAGATTCCTCCTGTGTCTCGCTATTGACCTCTAGCTTGGGCCAGTGGGCCTCTGTAGAGTCCTCCTGTGTCTCGCTATTGACCTCTAGCTTGGGCCAGTGGGCCTCTGTAGAGTCCTCCTGTGTCTCACTATTGACCTCTAGCTTGTTGCACTGTACCTTGTGTAGATTCTTCCTGTGTCTCGCTATTGACCTCTAGCTTGGGCCAGTGGGCCTCTGTAGAGTCCTCCTGTGTCTCACTATTGACCTCTAGCTTGGGCCAGTGGGCCTCTGTAGAGTCCTCCTGTGTCACACTATTGACCTCTAGCTTGTTGCACTGTACCTTGTGTAGAGTCCTCCTGTGTCTCGCTATTGACCTCTGGCTTGGGCCAGTGGGCCTCTGTAGAGTCCTCCTGTGTCTCACTATTGACCTCTAGCTTGGGCCATTGGGCCTCTGTAGAGTCCTCCTGTGTCTCACTATTGACCTCTAGCTTGGGCCATTGGGCCTCTGTAGAGTCCTCCTGTGTCTCACTATTGACCTCTAGCTTGTTGCACTGTACCTTGTGTAGATTCCTCCTGTGTCTCGCTATTGACCTCTAGCTTGGGCCAGTGGGCCTCTGTAGAGTCCTCCTGTGTCTCACTATTGACCTCTAGCTTGTTGCACTGTACCTTGTGTAGATTCCTCCTGTGTCTCGCTATTGACCTCGAGCTTGGGCCAGTGGGCCTCTGTAGAGTCCTCCTGTGTCTCACTATTGACCTCTAGCTTGGGCCAGTGGGCCTCTGTAGAGTCCTCCTGTCACAGTAGTTTGGCTGGTTGTAAATGACATGCTAAATTGTTGTGTTGCAGGACATCTTGATGTCCTGTTGGCAGTTCAAATTCCCCGAGCGTCCCGACTTCAGCCAGGTGGCCAAGGCACTGGATAGAATACCAAAGAACCGCCTAATTAGGAGTCCTTCACACCCGATACAGTTCTCCCGGAGTACAGAGGGAATCTTCAGTGCTTGAGCAAGTGTGTAGGATGTTGCACTGATGCAACCAGCCAGGCGGCAGCCAAGACAATATCGGGATGACCCTTCTGTGATCCGTAACCCAGGGACCTGACTGTTGATCCAATATTTCATTGTGTGAGCAGTGCTGACCATGTACAGTGGGTCATGTGATCGTTGTACAGTGAGTCATGTGATCGTTGTACAGTGAGTCATGTGATCATTATCAGGCTTGATCGTGTGATCATTGCACAGTGAGTCATGTGATCATTATCAGGCTTGATCATGTGATCATTGCACAGTGAGTCATGTGATCGTTGTACAGTGAGTCATGTGATCATTATCAGGCTTGACCATGTGATCATTGCACAGTGAGTCATGTGATCATTATCAGGCTCGATCATGTGATCATTGCACAGTGAGTCATGTGATCATTATCAGACCTGATCACGTGATCATTGTAGAGTGTGGTAATGTGATTGCTCTACTGTGTGGTCACGTGATCCTTGTACAAAATGGTCATGTGACAATGTATGGTTTGGTCATGTGACAGTGTATGGTTTGGTCATGTGACAGTTTATGGTTTGGTCATGTGACGGTGTAGGGCTTGGTCATGTGATCAGCGTCACGTGATCAGCTGCAGGCAGACCCCGGCAGAACAGGTGCTCTATCTCAATGCAGTCACTCCATGGCACAGAGAGTGTTGTTTGTGTGGTGGACGTGATCAGTCCCGCCAACAAGCCAGATGACCGCTGACCAGAACAGTCAGCTTACGTAGACTTTCTTCACACTGAGTCCTATGATTCATCCACACATGTTCATCATTCAGGAGTGTATCACATCACCCCGAGTCATGCAAGGTCAGCGAGATGTATGGTGTGTTCTATAAGAGAGTGCCTCAGGCTAGAATGAGTGAAAAGTGTGATGTCATTTTGGATAACGAGAATGTTTGATGTAGGAATGTTTAGTGTTGTGTGTGTGTGAGCATGTCCATCATGAATGTGGGAGGTGTCCATTGTGCTACATTGACCCCGTCGTCACATCTCCTCTTCCTCATCAGTGTCATTGTTACCATTATTGTTATCATCATCATGATCATCATCAACATTATTATCATTGTTGTCATGTTTTATGCCATGCATTTTTCAGCATTGACATTTTGAGTGTGATATTTTTTATGCTTAAAAATCATGAAAATTTTATTGATGCATAAATTTTTAGGCATATTATATGTAAGCCTTTTACCTACCAATCTTTTATGTGATTACATCATTGCCTAGGCAGATTAGAACACTGTGAACCAATCTCATTAATATCAGATCTTTTACTCCGATCGATATTTCTCTGTTTGAACAAGTAACAACCCCTCCATGGAAAGTGGCATCATATGAACCCTTTTCAAACTTTGACAACCAAATCAAAATAACACTTTGGCTGCCTTTCTTTACTACCTTGGTTCAATTTCAGCCACAGAAAACTCACACACAACACAAAGTGTTTGATGGAAAGACTTTTGGGTGTAGGTGTCATGTCACTCATAAAAAGGTGTATGAAATATCCTCAATAGAATTGTGGAGCCTTTATTATTTACATTCCGAACTGTCCGTTCTTTTTCAAGATTAAAAAATCAGACTGAATGCTCCTCTCACTCATACCAAATAATTACAGGCCTCAGCACTGATTAACCAGACATGACTTCCAATGGAGGGGTTGTCAGACGTTCGCACAGAGAGGTGTCGCCTGGGAGTAGAAGATCTGATTTTAATGTGGTTGACTGTGAACATGACTGTTGAGCTCCACCCATAGTTTACGACTAGTACATTTTATACATCGCAGTGTCAGTCATGAAGGAGTGTGCTTGTGCCTCTCCCAATCTGACAGCATCTCTGACATTTGGTCATTTTTTAGCAGAACAAATTTGTATTATAAATTCATTTATCCTGAAATACACGAACAACACATAGACAAACCTTTAGTGCTAACTATTAGCTGAGATAGACAATGGTTAATTTGGTGCTGAGCATCGGAACAAATATCTGATCAAGATGTTGTGATCTTGCTAAACGATAACCTTTATTTTTATTTCCATTCAAAAGCGAGATGGAACAAAGATTCAGTTGATGATGAAGTCAGCTGTTGGATGCTGGAGTCCTCTGTGATTGGTTGGAAGTAGGTGCAGTATCAGACTATCATGTGATATATTCCCTGTGTGGTGCTGCCAGGTGACACTCCGACACTCCCCCAGCCAGTGGGATACAGGCACTCTCACATACTGTCCTACGTAAATATACCTCAGTGTTGACTAAGGATGTGGTTACTGTATATCTTAATGTTACCATGGTAACAAGGGATGTTGTTACAATCACAGTGTTTGAAATAATTTTAAAACCCAACAAACCCGACAGTTGGGCAGGTGACCCATAACTGTAGCCTGCCCGTCTTCAAAGTCACCTGCCTGCATTCAGACATTATTGTATTGAAAAATTGCAAAAAATGAGAGACTGATTGCATCATGATTCAGCTGAATATTTCTAACAATTACTTGAATCTACAAGGAGTTATGATAAAATGAGTATCTAAGTTGGCTTAAAATTATCTGCATTGTCGAAGAATGCAGGTAGAAGAAACTTTCGTGCAGCCCGACAGAAAAGTTACCAGCCACTGGCAGGCGGGCAAGCAGTTATTTTGGACACTGGTTACGATGTATCTTAAAGAAACCTTGTGACAAAGGATGTGGTTTACAATGTATCTCAATGTTACCTTGGTGATGAGACATAGTTTTCAATGTATCTCAATGTTACCTTGGTGTTGAGACATTGTTTTCAATGTATCTCAATGTTACCTTGGTGTTGAGACATTGTTTTCAATGTATCTCAATGTTACCTTGGTGTTGAGACATAGTTTTCAATGTATCTCAATGTTACCTTGGTGTTGAGACATTGTTTTCAATGTATCTCAATGTTACCTTGGTGTTGAGACATTGTTTTCAATGTATCTCAATGTTACCTTGGTGTTGAGACATAGTTTTCAATGTATCTCAATGTTACCTTGGTGTTGAGACATTGTTTTCAATGTATCTCAATGTTACCTTGGTATTGAGACATAGTTTTCAATGTATCTCAATGTTACCTTGGTGTTGAGACATTGTTTTCAATGTTTCTCAATGTTACCTTGGTGATGAGACATAGTTTTCAATGTATCTCAATGTTACCTTGGTGTTGAGACATAGTTTTCAATGTATCTCAATGTTACCTTGGTGTTGAGACATAGTTTTCAATGTATCTCAATGTTACCTTGGTGTTGAGACATTGTTTTCAATGTATCTCAATGTTACCTTGGTGATGAGACATAGTTTTCAATGTATCTCAATGTTACCTTGGTGTTGAGACATTGTTTTCAATGTATCTCAATGTTACCTTGGTGACGAGACATAGTTTTCAATGTGTCTCAGTGTAAACCTGGTGACGAGATATGATTTACATTGTATATCAATACAACCCATTCAACAGATTATGTTGTCATTCTGGTAATAATCTGGTACTAATTAACATGGCCACCATTGAATCAAATGTACTGTTAAATATTTCATCCGGGTAAGGTCACATAACCCTGTGACATGTTGAGCGTGTGAGCGCTGTCTGTATCCTACTGCTGGAGCTGACGAGAAGCAGAGTCCCCAGTCAGATGAACACGTCTCCCTTAAGCTGTGATATTAGAATGGTAACAGTCACAAATGGGCTAGCAGCATCTTTGCTATATTTGTATCAGCTGATGTAAAACAAATAATTCAATGTAAAGCAGAATTTGATGACCATTCTAAATGCATCAAGTTTTGCAAGCTTTGGTGTGACATGGTGCCGGATGGCTGTATAATACTAAGTCTGTATATGTTGATTCTGAATTATGATTGTTTCTGTATGTGAGTGTGTGATCATCCAGCCAGCGGTCAGTCCCGCCCACCACAGGCTACTACAAGGTTAACTAAGGGGGTTACGATTCACTGATGCATCACCATATCTCTAAAATATCTCAGGCCTAAAAATTGTAACTAAAACAGTTGCAAATGCGACCTAAATTTCAATGTGTCTACTGAAGTAAGACGAGTTCTATGGATGAACAACTTCTTTATTACAATTAGTGCGACGTTTCGGTGTAGATCCTAACACCTTTATCAAGCAAGTGATCACTCCAACTTCTAAATGCCACTCAAAGAAGTAATGTGTCTACTGTCTAAAATTCAGAGGTAGCCAAATGACTGTCTTGAAAAATATCTTGTGGCGACTAAATTCTATTGCTACACATTTGTAGACACACACAAAAATAAACGTGTCTGCTACTAATTCCTCTTAAAGTCAATGAACCGAAATGCATAAATATTACTGTAATTAGTATTTTATTTTAGTTGATAGTTTATTGGATAAGCAAGGATATACCTATATAATCTAGTAACATAAATTGCATCATTGTTCGAGTCACAAATAACAAAACTCAAGTACGGTTTCTACTAATATACGATTCCAATACTAATTCTGTGACTTGTACTTATAATAGTTATTTGATAAAAGATCATTTCAAATGCTTTTGACTACCTACACAAGTGGCTTGACTTCTTAATTTTACCACTGGCTACCTGGAAAAAAATACACAGATGCATCAACATCTTCTCACAGATGCATCACCTGGGCTAGCATTAACCAGCAGTGTCATAATCATTCCACTATTTTGTCAAGCCTTAATTAACCAAACAAATGTAACACAACTGATGTATGGCTACAAATTCTAGTCAGCCAAGCTTTATGGTACATGGACAATTTCACACAAAAATGGCACCAATTAACTAACTATCGCGATACATATCGGGGCTCAAATATAATGGCATGTGTCTATGCATGAGGTTATGTTTCTAGGTTTGTCAGCACCATACCCGTGCTCGTGGGTTTCACTGAAGTGGTTAACGTCTGAGACCTGCATCACCTCGGGCTTTCCTCCCACATTAAGCTGACACGCCGTGATATGACTGGAATACTGTTAAAAGCGGCGTTAAACTCGACTCACTCACTCACTCACTATGCATGAGGTAAGCACATCCTGACACCACCAGTACAAACAAACACATCAGAGGAATGGACAATTGCCCACAATGTTCCATAATAGAAACTCTCCATATTCTCTCCTTTATACAAGACTCTAATCAAGGTGATGTATTTTGTGAGAAACTGGTCTGACTGTGTGTAATGACACAATGATAGATCTACTCTTTGACATGATAGATGCTAAGCAAGCAGTATGTTCCTTCAGTAACACAATGTTTTAAGTTGTATTAATCTGTCTAGTGGTTGACAGTTACCACGGTTATGGTAGTAGCGCCTGTGGTGGCGGGATGGACATTGGCCGGGGCATATCGTGGGGGTATGCATGTATGCAGGTATGTCCTTACTTTGAGCTTTCCTCAACACATCCGTTTCTACAGGGATATCAAAACATGTTGGACGATTCCACGTAGCAACAAATTTAGATTATTCTGATAATCTCCAACTTGGCTCCGAATGTGAAACATTGTTTTCAATACAGGTAAACAGTGGGTAACACTGCTTTTGTTACAGGTTCAAAAAAAAAAAAGAAAAATGGGATTGTTTTAATCTCAGCGAAGTAGCTGCTTTTGGATATGACGCTTGTAATAGAAAGTGTCATGTCAGTTATTTTTCTCCGTTTTGATTTTCTTGGTCTGAAATAAGTTCCGAGGGATTGATTTAGGTTTTGAAAGACGAGTGCCCTTGCCAGGCAGATAGGGAAAATTATTGTTAAAATTATTTTTTGTTTTAAAGTTTGTATTTCATAAATTCATAAGGGGGATGGCAACTTAGTTTCAGCAGTTGAACACTGGACATGGCCCCATGTCTGTAGGAAAGCCTCAATATTACAAAATACTATTTCAAATGGATACATTAATTTATTGATCATTTTGTTTTGGACTATAACACTAATGCAGAAGATCTGAGCCTAGATCTGTAGATAGGTCTGTGGAGACAAGTTGTTTGCTATCTGTTGTCAGAAGGTGGTAAACTGTTTTGATATCCTGGTATGGCGGAGTCTACTGTACAACCATTCCTTCTTCACTAAGCTATGCAACTCTGTGCAGTATTGGGTAGCCTTTCACAGTTCCTGTACACTCGTCAATAGTACAGACAAGAGGAATTTTCTTGTCCTCCTTGACATTAGACTCATGTTGTGCCTCAAGTTCCTGAAGCTGACGTGGTTGGCCTATGTAGCTACCATTTCATAGATCTTGTGGAGACATACATTCACAGACTTGTTTCAGACTGACTGAAATCTTGGTACAAATTCTTTTATGTTGATTTAGAAGCTGAATCTGTAATTTTGTTTTCTAATTTGGTGATCTATATGGTAAAGAGACTGATTTGTTTGCTGCTCCATGACACACTCCATGCCCCATCACACATTCCAGGCCCCATCACACAGTGTAGGCTCCATTACAGCCTCCAGGTTTCATCACACACTGTAGGCTCCATTACAGCCTCCAGGTTTCATCACACACTGTAGGCTCCATTACAGCCTCCAGGTTTCATCACACACTGCAGGATCCATCACACACTGCAAGCTCCATCACACACTGCAGGCTCCATCACACATTCCAGGCCCCATCCCACACTGCAGGATCCATCACACTCCGGGTTTCATCACACACTGCAGGCTCCATTACAGCCTCCAGGTTCATCACACACTGCAAGCTCCATCACAAACTACAGGCTCCATGCCACTGCAGGCTCCATCACAATCCAGGCACCATCACACACTACTGGCTCCATCACACACTGCAGGATCCATCACACTCCGGGTTTCATCACACACTGTAGGCTCCATTACAGCCTCCAGGTTTCATCACACACTGCAGGATCCATCACACACTGCAAGCTCCATCACACACTGCAGGCTCCATCACACATTCCAGGCCCCATCACACACTGCAGGATCCATCACACTCCGGGTTTCATCACACACTGCAGGCTCCATTACAGCCTCCAGGTTCATCACACACTGCAGGATCCATCACACACTGCAAGCTCCATCACAAACTACAGGCTCCATGCCACTGCAGGCTCCATCACAATCCAGGCACCATCACACACTACTGGCTCCATCACACTCCAAGCTCCATCACAAACTACAGGCTCCATGCCACTGCAGGCTCCATCACACACTGCAGGCTCCATCACACACTACTGGCTCCATCACACTCCAAGCTCCATCACAAACTACAGGCTCCATGCCACTGCAGGCTCCATCACACACTGCAGGCTCAATCACACACTCAAGGCACCATCACACACTACTGGCTCCATCACGCTCCAAGCTCCATCACAAACTACAGGCTCCATCACACACTCCAGGCTCCATCACACACTACCGGTTCCATCACCCTCCAAGCTCTGTCACTAACTACAGGCTCCATGCCACTGCAGGCTCCATCACACACTGCAGGCTCAATCACACACTCCAGGCACCATCACACACTACTGGCTCCATCACACACTACCGGTTCCATCACACTCCAAGCTCCATCACAAACTACAGGCTCCATGCCACTGAAGGCTCCATCACACACTACCTGCTTCATCACACTCCAAGCTCCGTCACTAACTACAGGCTCCATGCCACTGCAGGCTCCATCACACACTGCAGGCTCAATCACACTGCAGGCTCCATCACACACTCCAGGCTCCATGCCACAGCAGGCTTCATCACACTCTGCAGGCCCCATCAAACATGATCGGCTTTGTCACACTCAAAGCTCCATCACACACTACAGGCTCCATGCCACTGCAGGCTCCATCACACACTACAGACTCCATGCCACTGCAAGCTCCATAACACACTGAAGGCCCCATCAAACACGGTCGGCTTGGTCACACTCCAGGCTCCATCACACACTGCAGGCTCAATCACACACTGCAGGCTCCATCACACACTGCAGGCTCCATCACACTCCAGGCACCATCACACACTACTGGCTCCATCACACTCCAAGCTCCATCACAAACTACAGGCTCCGTGCCACTGCAGGCTCCATCACACACTGCAGGTTCCATCACACACTGCAGGCCCCATCAAACACGGTCGCCTTGGTCACACTCCAGGCTCCATCACACACTGCAGGCTCCATCACACACTGCAGGCTCCATCACACACTGCAGGCTCCATGCCACTGCAAGCTCCATCACACAGCAGGCCCAATCAAACATGGTCGGCTTGGTCACACTCCAGGCTCCATCACACACTCCAGGCTCCATCACACACTACAGGCTCCATCACACACTACAGGCTCCATGCCACTGCCAGCTCCATCACACACTCCAGGCTCCATCACACACTGCAGGCCCCATCAAACACAGTCGGCTTGGTCACACTCCAGGCTCCATCACACACTGCAGGCTCCATCACACACTACAGGCTCCATCACACACTGCAGGCTCCATCACACACGGCAGGCCCAATCAAACACGGTCGGCTTGGTCACACTCCAGGCTCCATCACACACTGCAGGCTCCATCACACACTACAGGCTCCATGCCACTGCCAGCTCCATCACACACTCCAGGCTCCATCACACACTGCGGGCCCCATGCCACTGCAGGCTCCATCACACACTGCAGGCTCCATCACACACTACAGGCCCCATGCCACTGCAGGCTCCATCACACACTACAGGCTCCATGCCACTGCCAGCTCCATCACACACTCCAGGCTCCATCACACACTGCAGGCCCCATGCCACTGCAGGCTCCATCACACACTACAGGCTCCATGCCACTGTAGGCTCCATCACACACTACAGGCTCCATGCCACTGCCAGCTCCATCACACACTCCAGGCTCCATCACACACTGTAGGCCCCATGCCACTGCAGGCTCCATCACACACTACAGGCTCCATGCCACAGCCAGCTCCATCACACACTCCAGGCTCCATCACACACTGCAGGCCCCATCAAACACAGTCGGCTTGGTCACACTCCAGGCTCCATCACACACTGCAGGCTCCATCACACTACAGGCTCCATGCCACTGCCAGCTCCTCCACACACTCCAGGCTCCATCACACACTGCAGGCTCCATCACACACAGTCGGCTTGGTCACACTCCAGGCTCCATCACACACTGCAGGCTCCATCACACACTACAGGCTCCATCACACACTGCAGGCCCCATCAAACACAGTCGGCTTGGTCACACTCCAGGCTCCATCACACACTGCAGGCTCCATCACACACTACAGGCTCCATGCCACTGCCAGCTCCTCCACACACTCCAGGCTCCTTCACACACTGCTGACAACACCACACATTTTCAACCTGACCCCCCAGTTTGATCACACACTGCAGAGCCCAGATGAAAATTTCAGCTGTAAATGAATCTGTGGATTTGTGTCTCATGTCAGCCGACTTGTGAAGGACAACATGTCTTGATAAGATTGTATACGCAACTCTCATTCTAATCATTATAGTTGGTAATCTTGCTTTCTGATCATAACAATATGCATCGTATCATTTACCTGGAGATCATTGCAGCACAACATGAACAATCAGACGACTGAGTCAGGAGAAAACTTGAGAAGTACTTGAACATACAAAAAGTCATTGTCATTTTATTGAAATCTTTATCATAGACATGGTAGATGCGACAAGTACCGCATCTTATTGCTAGACAAATCCCTTACTTTATTTACGAAATATGGCTATAATGTATGACTATTTATGTCTGTAGTGAGCTGCAGTACACTGTAGACAGGTGACACCTTCATTAGTCACTCATATTTACAATCAATTAGACAAGGGTCATCAACATGATTATCTTAATTAACTGTCTTGGACACAAGGAACTGGTCCACATTTCACACAACGATCTTAGCGCTACGATGATCATAACTCCTATACTAGAACATAGGCTTGCGATAGTCATGGATCTAAGATTGCTTTGTAGAATGACGCCCTGGACCCTCTTCCACAAAGTCATCTTAGCGCTAAGACAGCAATAACTTCCATACTTTAACATGGACTTATGGCAGCCGCAGCACTAAGATCGATTTGTGGAACTGTCCTGGTCTGAATGGATGCTAAGGCTAAACTTTAATATTACTTGCTTTACGGATTTTAACAGAAAATGATGGGGGCGGGGGTAGCAAGTTAATTCTTATTTTAGTTTATTTCCTGCACTATTGGTCAGCTGCAATGCAATGCAATGCAAACCTGACGAATCAAGTGGGAACACTGTTGTGCATCTATGCATCCTATCAATTTTAGGGAAAAAACAACAAACTTTATTTGGACTCCCATGTTTAACATGTCAATTTCAGTGGGTCCTTGTTAGAAAATATTTTTGGGGTACAATATGCAATCAGCTTATGGTTGGGATGGACAAAAAGCAAATTCTGAATATTTATTTTTTTTGTTTTTCCAATTCGACAAAAATCACTCGGCGGATCCGTAAAGCAAGTGAACAAAAAAAGTGTGTCCTATCTTACATCCCTGGCATGTTTTTTGAAAGGTTGAGCAGATACCAGGTTATATGTGATAAAGTGTTAAGACATGAAGAGGTGCCATATCTTGTCCGTGAATACTGCTGGCAAGCGCATGTGAATTACAGGCGTTCCATACATACAGATACCACCAAGTAGTTGCGTCTTGACCAAACACAGGTCATCAGTCCACACCTTTCCAGTTGTACTCAATATAATGAACATCAGAGAACAACCAGTCTCGATCATCTGCCGAAACAGATTTCACTGCACGCAGAAGGCAGGAAAATTAATATGAATGGAATATTTGATATTTTGCCTATGAATAAATATTCAGATCATTGGGAATTATATTTATGTTTTAGGCATCTTCCAACTTACCATTTGATTAATATGTATTTCAAAATTAAATATTTTTCTCATATTGGACTTGTGATCAGGGCTTGCATGAAATACAGATAGGCCCAAAACATGGATAAATCTGATTAAGTAACAGTTGTCATCTTCTATTGATTGGCTTGGTAACATACCTGGGACTAGGACTGAAACGTAAGCTTGTTTACATACTGAGTATGTATTCTGAAAATATTATGCTACAAATAGACTCCAACACTCCAAGTAAGGACAACTGATTTCTCACCCTTGTGCAATATGCCACTGTACATAATTATGGAGAAATAAATCTTTTAATACTAGGTTTGTCTGTTACAATGTTGTCATTTCTGGCTTTGCTGAAAATGCAAAAGTCATGTCCTACATCTTGATCAATACCACTACAACTTTGGCTTCTCCCTTCCTAAAGGTAGTGGTGATGGGAAGCCTAGTTTTAAAGCCATCATCTGTCACGTCAGAAGGCCCGGGTTCAATTCCTGACATGGGTACAATGTGTGAAGCCCATTTAAGCTGTTCTGTGCTTGAAATGATTTTAAAACCAAACAAGACAGTTGGGCACTTGACCCATGTATGTTGCCTGCCCCCATTCAGACATTATAAATATTGGAAATCGAAAAAGGAAAGGAAAGATCGCGTCTTGATTCAACTGAAATAATGCTTACAATTACTTGAGAATCTACGAGAACTTGTAATAAAATCGATTACTTAAGTTTGCTTAAAATCATGTGCCAGACAGTCGAGCAGGTGGAGGCAACTTTCATGCAGCCCAACAGAAGAGTTACCAGCCACGAGCAGGCAGTTATTTCAGACACTGCTGTGCCGTGATAGTGCTGAAAGCAGAGTAAAACCATACCCACTCACATCCAGAAATAGTGGAGATTCTGGGCCCCAAGCATTTGTGTTTGTTGAAAGGGCAGACTAAAATGAGGATTGGATGGTCACAATGTGTGATTTGGTCGGCAGTGTCACTGTTCCCCTTCAGTGTAAATCTCTGCTCTTGCAGGCAGCTGTTGCTTTCCCCTGCCTAGTCTTGATTGTTTGTTTGTTTAGCACCACACTTGACGATATCTTAGCTATATGACGGAGAGCTATATGACGGAGAGCGATATGACTATCCAGAGATTGACATGAGTATCAATCTACGAGATTGGGATAGGATGTCTTCCTTCAACCAAGTCAGCGAGTCTGGCTTGCTGGCTTGCTGAAGACCCTTGATTAGTTTCAGTGTTAATGCTGGATTATTATTTTACTGTAGTGTAAACCAACACTCACTCACAGATGTGATATCAACATGAAGATAGACACAGGAAGGCTCTGGAAACAGAGCGAGCCATCAGGGTCCACGGATTTATCTAAACCTGCTCAGAGGTTGATAATCGGTTCCAAGTTTGCAGCAAATGACTAAAAATTCGAATTATAAATTTTAAATTTCCCAATTCCTCAGAATTTCTGAAAATGAGAACATTAAAATAATTGATTTTTTTAACAATGTATTGATTTTTTTTCTCCTGTTTGCCAGTCAAGGACACTTAGTTGGGAATCCTAGATCACTATCTGAGGTGATCCCAGAAAACCTAAAAGAAACTTGTACAAAATTATAGTTTAACACCAGTGACAACACACAACAATATTCCAGCTACATGATAGCGGACTAAATAATTTGATCCGAACCAGACATTCCAGTGATTAACATTATGAGCATCCATCCATGCAATTGGGATCAATGACATTCATCAACCAAGTTGGCGAGTCTGACCACCCCGTACATCAGTTGCCTCTTACGACAAGGATGGGTTGCGGAGACTAATTATAACCCAGCTCTTCAAAGGTAACGAAATGATCGAGGTTGTACAACTGTTGTTAGTCTACAGTTTGTGAAAGAGTGGAAATTATTACAAATAATGGCTATGGATCCTCTCTGCATGTGGTCCCTGAACAACATTCTTGCTCACCCAGATAACTGCCATAGTTGAGTTGAACACGACCAAACAATTCCAAGTCAATATAAGGATAGGGCATGCATGTCTCAAGGCAATCGTTCCATCCATGCAAGGTTCAGTTGCTTGTGTGATTTGAATCCAATATGTTGATTGTAGGCACAATTACCTGTCTTAGTCAGATGCATGTGTAGAGCTGACGTTGCTGTACAATGAGACTGCTACTTCGGATGTTGATTAGGGCAAGGGTGGCCCAGTCGGCTTGAAACTTGATGCTTTTCGTTAGCCTAGTGACGTCATTTTTACTGCAGCAAAATGAGTCGTGTGACAATGATGTGCAGTGTAAAACAAAACCTTGCTAAATTTTGTTTAGGGTGCCCACGTCATTTTGGCATGATGAGCATCAATCTACGCCATCAGGATACGATGACATGCATCAACCACATCAGCAAGCCTGACCACCCGATCCTGTTAGTCGCCTCTTTTGACAAGCATAGTCGCCTTTTACAGTGAGCATGGGTTTCTGAAGACCCGGATCTTCACGGGTGCTAAGTCCTATGATATGGAGATATGATCAAACAATAACACAACACTTCATATAATCATATACATACACTCTTTATCATGGTTATGCATATTCATGATCTAAAACAAAATTTCGCAATTAAAACATATCACACAGAACATATCACAGGCATATAGATATACATCCTCACTCATTCACGAAAATGTGAACGTGTTCCTCCATATCCCAAACCTAGTTCACATCCACTTCAGCATTAGAAAGTGGCAGTAGTCCTTGCCAAACTGCCCAATAGTTAAGGTATCCAAAAAACTAATAGAAATTGGCCCTTTTTAAGGGTTGTGCTAACTGTTAGTTTCTATCGCTGTGCTTGCTGTAATGCAGGTACAGATGGTAAGTGGGATGTGAAACATCCAGAGAATCATCAATACTTCATCCGTTTGTATACACGACCTTCCTCCATCATAAAGTGGCTGCTTTGCTGTGTAATCGTTAAGTGTGTCTAGTTTAAATCGCAGCGTTAGAAATTGGCACTGGTCCTGTAGTCCTTGCCAAACTGCCCAATAGTTAAGGTATCATACAGTCAAGTAGAAATTTGCTCTTTTATGGGTTTCACTATATGTTATAATTAGAAGGACTAGTGGACTAAAATTGTTAGTTTCTATCACTGAATCGGGTAATGAAATGAAACTGTGTAGAACTCATGGACATCAAATGAGCCTTACTGGCCATGACCTCTGTCTGAACCCTAGTGTTGCCTCATATTGCAGCAATGTGTAAGTGAGTAAGTGAGTGAGTTATGTTTAACGCCGCTTTTAACAGTATTCCAGTTATATTGCGGCGTGTCAGCTTAATGTGGGAGGAAAGCCCGAAGTGATGCAGGTCTCAGACGTTTACCACTTCTGTGAAACCCACAAGTGTGGGTATGGTGCTGACAAACCTAGAAACATAATCGGGGCGAACCGGGGATTCGAACCCACAATCATAGGTTTCTGGCGTGCCCAAGGGACGCAACTCTGCACAGCGAATCGCGGCTCCTTAGATGACTGGGCCACCCGGGCTGCCACAATGTGTAAGTACATGGAGATGACCGCAAGGGTATTGCACACTGGAAATTTTGCTAATATAATCTGAGCTATCGCTGGAACCAAGCTTTCTCTGGATTCATACATCCAAAATAGCAACTACACTGCAAAGTGGCCTGTGTATTACCAGGTGATGGAGAAACTGTGTGCACACAAAGCCCTGAAGTTGGGACATCTATATTGAATTAGTAAAACCTCCAAGGTGAAAGACAGTGTGGAAATAGCCTGAGTGGGACAAGACAGTTGCAATTGAGGTATGTTGGATTTTCCTGACTTTTGCATTGATCTCTCCTCAGTATCATACATTACAGTACTTTTGTTCTGGCTGTCCCTCGACTCCACAACCTGAATCAGCTTAATGCTTTATTGACTGGACACAAAATATGGTGAACATTCACAAATAGTACTCCCTTTAAAAAATGTCCTATCTTAATTGTTTACACCATTTAAAAAGAAGTCAAATCTTCCTAAAATGTAAGTGCTAAAAATGAGCCATCAAAATAGAAAGTCAAAATGTAACAATAAAATATCAACTTGTGACACTTTCAACTAAAGGCTGGCCCTTACTGGAACAATAAAATCAACAGTATCTCTTGATGTGCAGGGTTAGATTTAACAACAAATTTGTATGTAGCCAGCAGGGTTTGCAACCTTTTAAAAGTTGCTGGCCCTTTTCCAAACTGTCCTACAGTTAAATGGTGGAGGTCGCCAAGTGGCTGAACCTGAGGTCTAGCCACCTAGCAGGGCTCTGAGAAGTTTAGAACTTGTCACCCGTAAAACGTTTTTGCCTGCACTGTGAGATTATCTCTTGGCTTCCATTTGCCTCATTTCGTAGTGGTTAATGAGCAAATAAAGAGTACACAACATTACAAAATGGTGGCCGGTTGTCATTCTACGGAGATGATCAAATTAAAAGAAATAACCATACACAGAGAAGGGGTGAAATATGAATAGCCAGATCGGACATCTTCTTTACATTTCAGCAAGCCCTTTGTAATTTTAACTGGCCACGGGGCAAAGGGCCAGCAGTTAAATCGACCCCATGATGTGGCTGAGGAATCGTATTACACTGTATCTACGTCATGGTGAAATGAGTGAGTGAGTGAGTCGGGTTTAACGCCACTTTTAACAGTATTCCAGTTATATCACGGCGTGTCAGCTTAGTGTGGGAGGAAAGCCCGAAGTGATGCAGGTCTCACACGTTTACCACTTCGGTGAAACCCACGAGCACGGGTATGGTGCTGACAAACCTAGAAACATAATTGGGGCGAACCAGGATTCGAACCCACAACATGGTGAAATGACATTCACTGAGATGATACATCAAGGAAATGGATCAGAAGTATTGTTTCTTGATGGCGCACTTAAATTCCAACAGGCACTTATAATCATCTTTGAGTGCTAGGGCACACTTAGAAGAAAATACATTTCTTTCCATGTTAAAGGTAACTGCTGACCAATCTTATTATCTCAATCAATTCTCAGATTTGGCTTGGCAATTTTACTTCATTTATCTGACCTTTAAACATTTTTATCCAAGCTTTTGAAATTCAGGGTCAAGTGGTCCTAGTCATTATTCTTATTTTAAGGTTGAAAATTAGAGGGTTCCTAGATTTATCATTTACAGTGTTGAATTTTGTTCAATCAATGAATGTCTCTTAAAGTGCCTGATCATTACATATTTTTGTCCTTAATTCCTGAAGCAAAACTGACTGATGCCCCTTTAACAAAATCGGGATGGCAATGTAGTCCCAGACATAGATAATGATCAACAGACACTCCTGGATGATATTAGTAGGACTTTATCATCCAAAACTGGCTCCCACAGGAGATATCGCTTGGATGAGATCAAGCGATATCTACACTGTAGATATCGCTGCAATGAAATTACATCACAATGCTTTGCAGACCATTGTGACGTCACTGGTTACCATGACGTCACAATCAAATGACATCACAAATGGCTCTGCTACTGAAGCTGTTTGCAGTACTTTTACACTGAAGACACTGCTAATTACTGTCTACAAATCGGCAAGCCTCGGAATTTTTCCACTTTTATCAACAAGTGTTGATATATTTGATATCAAAAGACACTTGGGTGAGATTCTCTATGTATTACAAAAATCACACATTGGATCCTCGATGAAGTATATAGGACTTCATGGAAATCTGCTTAGAGAGTGTTTATGGTGATATTTATCCTCAAATCTGCAGCAACTGTCCTGTAGTCCTTCTACATTTGAAACTGCTAATTTGTTAACGTTTAACATAAGAGTGATCATGCTATCATTGCTATAGCAAGGACCCCTTGAACACTGAATAGCATTTGTCATCATGCCCACTGTAAAAGATCCCAAGACCACAACATTCGATGATCTATGATTCTTGGCATCAATACTACAAATCACACATGCTGTTAATCCTTTTTCCTATCTTTTGGTGATACAGAGATTTGTCTTAGATCAAACACCTCTACAGCTAAGTATCCTGCAACAGAAAAAAGGATCAGAAACAAAATAGCTGTATTCCTCATCATCATCAAACGATGCTCTTCCCTTTCTTTCTTTATGAATTCATTCAGTTGCTTATCTTCCTGTTTCTTCCTTCTCGTATTACCGTAATGCTGCCTGTAGAACTCATCAAAGTTATACACATTTGTCCGTCCAGTAGGGGCTTCTCTTCTCTTTGACACAAAGCCTTCATCGTCATGGAAGCTGTCGTCCCCTTTCTGTACGAGTGGACTCATTACCCCTCTGTCATACATGCGCCTGTTTTTCACATTACCCAACACTTCATACGCTTCTGATATTTCTGCAAATATTAGACTTGCTTCTGGGTTTTTATTGACGTCAGGATGGTTGATTTTGGACAGTTCATAATACGCAACTTTGATCTGGCTCTGGGTTGCATTTGGTGTAACTTTTAATATATTGTAGTAATGAGTCCTGGATTTTGGTCTCTGGGGGTGTGTTGAATAATACCATTTCCTGAGGTTTAGGTACAAATAAGAATTCAAAATGTTTCTGCGGTTTTTAGGTAAATTGGGAGAACCAAATGTTGATGTTGAGTGTATAGATCTACACATTTTCCTTAATCTACGCACAGGTAGTGAAAGTTCTTGATTTGTTTTCCTAATTGTTGAATAGTGTTCACAAGGATATTGTAGTGACTTTGCCGAGTCTTTTGACTTGCACCTTGATAGACAACCTGTAAATTGTGCATATTTCCGAGCTGCCTTCGTAGCCATTTTACGACACGGCTGTAATTGGTGTGTTCGTTACTTAGATAATAAACACTGGTGCTGGCAGTTCTGTTTTGTGGACGGTCTTGTTTTGTTTTTTGTCAAAGCCAACAAACGGTCTTGACGGTATTAGATGTTTGACAAAGGCTGCGTAACACTTTCACCATTACGCAACCAACCGCCACGAAAAACCTATTAGCACGATTAATTTACAACTTTAACTGACCTTCGCTGATATTGTATGTCGAAGGTCCATGCAATTTTAGGCCGGTTTTCACGCAAGGAGTTGCGTCCCATCTGGGGGTATGACAAAATGGCTATGCGGAAAACGTTTACGAAAACGCGTTTGAATTTCCACACTATATGGTTGCTATTGGTAAACTAATAAATGTGGTAACAATGGGTTTCTATAATCTGTTGAAATATATCGTTGGTAATATCATCTCGCGCCCTGAAGTGAAAGTTTATTACATCGTTGTTTATATTTCTTATTCCATTTCAATGTCGTTTTTATTTTATGAATTCAAAATGGCGTCTTCAGGTAGACCCGAAAGGCAAGCACCCCCAGAAATCGTAAGTTTTTTCTCGTGACGTCTATTGTTACGTAAGATTTAGATTGAAAATAAGACTGTGTAATGTTAACCCCCTCGTTACTGTTATTTCAATCTGTTGCAGTACTACAATGAGGACGAAGCCCAAAAATACACATCAAAGTAAGTAACTTAGACCCACGTGGGCCAGTTTTCTGACAGATTCATTTCGCGGTGTTATCATAGCTAACAGACATACGCCCCACAAAGTCAATTAGGAAAGGTCCACGGATAGCTTACGCTTAGGGTCCACTGCAAATAGAAATTGTTTTGCGCATGATACATCATATACACACAACTGTGCGAAGCATACTGATGTTGCAACTTTAAAACGGAATAACATCTAAATATTCAAGATTTAGCGTGTTTACCTTTCAGCTTAAGGAAACGTGGCACGATGAAAATATAGAAACGGTCCTCTACCAACTGAGCGCTTACAAGTAACATTGCTGCATCAAGTGGACATTTTTAACATCTACATAATAATGTTAATTGCACGAGTTCAGTCAAATTGATGCTACTACATAACCATTAATCACATATCTAAGTGAGTTATTAGGGTGCAGGCTAAAACGGCACCTCAGCAAAACGTCACCGATTTCTCTGGCGAAAACGGCACCACATTTGGCGGAAATGGCTACTATGTGACAGGCGAAAACGGCACCTCTATTTCTAATAATGATAAGAACGATTTATGTACAATGTAGTAGTATATCTGATTTATGTTATTTGTTACATATTATTTGATGTATTTACATGTTATTTCCAGTTGTTCACAGATAATTACATACATTCACATGTATACAATATATATTTTATGGCCGCTGTCAATACACTGAGAGGAAAGGCCTTGCGAGCATGGTATAAGATCAAAAGTTCACTGAAATCAACTTCTCATCTCCCAGCAGACATTCTCATTCGCTTGTATAATGTCTTAATTGTACCCATTGCATCATATGGAGCCGAGGTATGGGGCTGCAGTCTTCTAAGACCCCCGCATGAAATGTATCATAACTGGTCTAAACAACTATGTAATGAGATCACTATCAAAATAGCAAAGCAGATTCTAGGAGTTCTTTTTGTACTGTCCAAATTATCAGAATGAAAGACAGATACTTCTTAGAAGACTAGACTTACAAAACTGCTAAATTGATAATAAAATCTTAGCAAATATCCTGAACCCCTGTCCTGAAAGAGGAAAATATGTTTCACAAATTATCTCCGACATGTTTATTAAAAGAACCTCTCTTATAGACAACATCTAGATATGACCTTATTTTACTTCAAGGCATGTTATGTTTTCACAATAATTTGAGTTGCGTATAGGCTAAGTTGGAATATAGTTGGAGTAGAGGCTAAATTCTAATGTAAACTAGTTGTAACATTTCACAATTATTGGTGTTTGCAAGCGACCATGTTAGTTCAATATCATTTATTTTATCAAGGTTAAAAAAAATAGGGTGCCGTTTTCGCCAGGCAATAGTAGCCGTTTTCGCCTGAGGCGAGGTGACGTTTTCGCCAATCGGTGCCGTTTTCGCCAGGTGACGTTTTGCTGAGGTGCCGTTTTAGCTATAACCCGAGTTATTATGGGGCGTAGTATACATTCATACATGTTCAAATTAAAGTGTTTGTATGTAGATGATTTTGGGCGTTTTTAAATCATTGCAGAATTAGGCGTGCAAGGCAGAGAAAGCTAGGGGTTATCAACTATTGTTTGCAAACAATGCTTCAGAACAGTCAACGTACTGACCATTTAACAAGACTTACCTTTCAATGTTTTCTTAAACTAAAAGTTCCATTTAAGAACATAGTTCACATATCCAATGTCCGTGTATGATCCACATCCGTAAATCTCACACATCTGTTGTGATATATTGCAAAATGTCACATATATATCATACATAAAAAAGCGCAATGTTGATGTCTCATTCGCGTACTGAAAGAGTATACAATATCCATCATGTCCATGTCACTGTTATGAGTGAAACTCATGTTGATTATGGTGGTCCGTTCACCATGTTTGAAAATGTTAAAACCATATGTCTATCCTCCTTCAATTTGTTGACATGGTCATCAACATTTTATACAAATTTTGTCTATCCTGACTGCTTGATACAATCATGTTCACATTTTTATTGTAATTTAATATATATAATCTAATTTCTTAGCAATATTTATCTTTTTCAGTTCTCGAATCATTGAGATTCAGCAACAGTTATCAGAACGGGCCATTGAGTTGTTGGCGCTACCTGATGACAAACCATGCTTTATACTGGATATAGGGTAAGTGCCTGCTCATGATGGCCATGGCAATCACACCTCAATGATTGGGATAATCTTATACATGCTTTATGGTGTATGTACACAAGTCAGATAAATAATATTCTGAAATTATATTGTTTCTACAGTCATAAATGTTACAATTACATGTCTGTGATATAGCTCAAACAGTCAATGGATATGGATGTTATGTGAGAACAACATATTGTAAATACCATCAACATTTAAGCTGGAATTTGTAACACTTTCTGTAACCACAAGTTAGAAACAGTAACAGATTTCAAGGTGGGCAGGTAGCTTATGAGTAGAATTTTAAAAAATAACCAGGATTATTGATAACATAAATTTTGAACACTACAACTCCACTATTATATGTTTGACCTTAACTATCTGCTATGTGTTTCAGATGTGGATCAGGACTGAGTGGAGAATGTTTGACAGATCAGGGACACGTGTGGATGGGACTGGACATCAGTGAACACATGCTTGGTAAGGGGGGACATCAGTGAACACATGCTTGGTAAGGGGGTACATCAGTGAACACATGCTTGGTAAGGGGGGACATCAGTGAACACATGCTTGGTATGGGAGGTGGGGGGGACATCAGTGACCACATGCTTGGTAATGTGGGACATCAGTGAACACATGCTTGGTAAGGTGGGACATCGGTGAACACATGCTTCGTAAGGGGGGACATCAGTGAACACATGCTTGGTAAGGTGGGACATCGGTGAACACATGCTTGGTAAGGTGGGACATCAGTGAACACATGCTTCGTAAGGGGGGACATCAGTGAACACATGCTTGGTAAGGTGGGACATCGGTGAACACATGCTTGGTAAGGTGGGACATCAGTGAACACATGCTTGGTAAGGTGGGACATCAGTGACCACATGCTTGGTAAGGCAGGACGTCAGTGACCACATGCTTGGTAAGGGGGGACATCAGTGAACACATGCTTGGTAAGGCGGGATGTCAGTGAACACATGCTTGGTAAGGCAGAACGTCAGTGAACACATGCTTGGTAAGGCGGGACATCAGTGAACACATGCTTGGTAAGGCGGAACGTCAGTGAACACATGCTTGGTAAGGCGGGACATCGGTGAACACATGCTTGGTAAGGCGGGACATCAGTGAACACATGCTTGGTAAGGTGGGACATCGGTGAACACATGCTTGGTAAGGCGGAACGTCAGTGAACACATGCTTGGTAAGGTGGGACATCGGTGAACACATGCTTGGTAAGGTGGGACATCGGTGAACACATGCTTGGTGAGGTGGGACATCAGTGACCATATGCTTGGTAAGGGGGGACATCAGTGAACAAATGCTTGGTAAGGCGGGACGTCAGTGAACACATGCTTGGTAAGGGGGGACATCAGTGAACACATGCTTGGTAAGGTGGGACATCGGTGAACACATGCTTGGTGAGGTGGGACATCAGTGAACACATGCTTGGTGAGGTGGGACATCAGTGAACACATGCTTGGTAAGACGAGACATCGGTGAACACATGCTTGGTAAGGGAGGTCGGGGGGACATTAGTGAACACATGCTTGGTAAGACGAGACATCAGTGAACACATGCTTGGTAAGGTGGGACATCAGTGAACACATGCTTGGTAAGGTGGGACATCGGTGAACACATGCTTGGTAAGGTGGGACATCAGTGAACACATGCTTGGTAAGACGAGACATCGGTGAACACATGCTTGGTAAGGGAGGTCGGGGGGACATTAGTGAACACATGCTTGGTAAGACGAGACATCAGTGAACACATGCTTGGTAAGACGGGATATCGGTGAACACATGCTTGGTAAGGGAGGTCGGGGGGACATCAGTGAACACATGCTTGGTAAGACAAGACATCGGTGAACACATGCTTGGTAAGACGGGACATCAATGAACACATGCTTGGTAAGGTGGGACGTCAGTGAACACATGCTTGGTAAGGTGGGCTGTAATGAACACATGCTTGGTAAGGTGGGACGTCAGTGAACACATGCTTGGTAAGGGGGGACATCAGAGAACACATGCTTGGTAAGGTGGGACATCAGTGAACACATGCTTGGTGAGGTGGGACATCAGTGAACACATGCTTGGTAAGGGGGGACATCGGTGAACACATGCTTGGTACTGGAGGTCAGGAGGGACGGTTGCACATATGGATTCCATTATAAGGAAGCACAGAGATCGTAATCTTCACTGGTATAATATGTATGACCCCTTTTGACTTTTGACATTTATGAGGGCAGAA